TGGAGTCATTCGGGAACATGCAGAACAGGACAAATTGTTGGTGGTCCAATTACAGCAGGAAAATCATTTGATTTTAAGCTTCGTTTAAGAATTCCTGTTAGAAGATTCCTTCCATTAGAACCTATTCGATTTATTCCAGCTTTTGCAGGAAACATTCAGCTTAAAGTAAAGTTCAGTAGCGACGCCTTACAATGCACATCTATATCTGTAAATGATATCATTTTTCAATCCAACTCTTAAAGTTGCATTTGCTTCAGGTTCAAATCCACCGACAAATAAATTTGTTCCATGGAATGAACCATTCACTATGATAACGAGTGCAACTGAAGCTAGTGGAACAGTTACTATTACAACTGTAACCCAGCAACTATTTCGAACAAAGATGGATTTTAATGAATGTTTTATTCATCCAAAGTCATTCTCTTTAGACCCTAACATTTATACAGAACTTGTAGAACATTATACAACGAGGCTTTATGTTTTCCTGTTAAAGTTATGGATTGGATTCCTATGGATGGTTCATTCTCAAGAATACAGATAGTTCAAGTGCAACATTTACAGCAGCTTATACGCCTATTAATGTTAAAAGTATTTGGGCACTATTTAGAAAGAAAGACAACTATTATGTTAATTTTGAGAACCCTAAGTTTAAATATCTTCAGCTTTCCATGGGAGCTTATGGAAATATGCCTGCAGAACCTGAAAAATCATATGGACCTGTATTTTATGAAATGGTTGCGAACGCTTGCAATACAAACAATGATATGATTGGATTTAATGAAGATGTTATGAGGTCATTGGTGGATGATGGTAGTGTGGAACATAAATGGGATAGCTATGACAACACACATTTCTTATGTGGTTTTCCAACAGAAGTGGACTTTTGCTTCCAGCAAGGTCAAACATCTACTGCTCCAATAACATACAAATTGTCTGTTAAAGGACCTATTGAACTAGCAACAGAAAATGTACCAAGCCACTTATTGGATTTATGAGGGATTGTTGCTTTGCAATACAAGTAAGACAGTCAGGCATACCAATAATAAGACTTGACGACTATAACTTAGCAGCGGACGACAGTGAGGAATAAAGGATGAACGTTTATTTTTAAAGCTTATAAATGAGTTCTTCATCAAGCTCTCGTGAACCTTCACCATCTGTGAAACAAACTTTACCAAACGATTATGGAGCACCTATTGAATATTTCTTACGAGCTGCACAATGGCAAAGAGCAGTCTCACCAAGGTTAGGTGTTCCACCAGCTCCTGTCAAAAATAGCATTTGGTCAAGTCCTTATATAAGATATGGTCTCCCACTAGGTTTGCTAGCTACAGCAGGAGCAGTAATGATGTTGAAAAGAAACAAAGCAAATGTTATAAATAATACTGAAGTAGCTGAATTTGAACAAACTCCGACACCATCGCCAAAACCAACGCCTTCACAAGCAAAACCTTCAATGACTCCTGAACCTATGGAAGTACAAACTCCTGTTCAAAAGTCAACTCCTAAACCGACTCCAACATTTAAACCAGAACCTACTCCTCAAATAAATCGTAAAACTCCTGCGTTTCCTTACTGAAAAAATAACGTTATTTTTATTTAATATTAAAATTTTTATTTGATTGAAATGACAAATAAAGTCACTGAAGCAATGAAACAAAAGTTTTTGGTAGAATACATTAAATCAGGAACTATTCCAGAAGGTTTTTACGTTCATACTATGAAGGATGGTAGAGTTCAGTTTAGAAAGATAAAGCAACCATTAGATAGAGAAGGTATATTAAGGAAGATTAAACTTCATGAGGACAACATTGCTGAACTTAAGAAGAAGTTAGAAGAGTTGGAGAAAGGAAGAGAGTTATAAAGTAATGAATTCAACAGACCCAAAGGGTCAGAGCCGCTTTGCGGCTAGGGTGAAAAAAGAGGTGAAAAAAGAGGTGAGATTTCACCACTTCACCTAAATTTATTTTTTCACCTCTGACAACGTTTATTTTTAAGTTTATTTTATTATTTAGCGAGAACGTTTATTTTTAAGTTTATTTTTTATTTTATTTTTATTTTATTTGGATGTAATGACAGAACAAAAGCAACTCATACAAATCAAAACATATAACAAACATACATTTAAACATTTATTCTTCCTTCCTGAGCATAACATGTTCTTTCAAATACATCCGAGACCAGTTGACTTTTCATTGACTGTTTATAAAGATAGAAATAGTTATATCATTAAACCATACGATGACGAAGGTAAGTTATGTAAATTGTACGTTAAGAAGTTAGAGAAAGTTTATGGCTTCAAGTATGACTACAATAGGGTTAACACTGATGATGAAGATATTGAGGAAAATTTATGAGAACATTAGTGAAGTCGTTAGTGAGAACGATAGTGAGAACGTTTATTTTTACATTAGTGAGTTCGTTAGTGAAGTGGTTGGCGGCTTTGTAAATATTTAAGGTTAAGTTAGTGTTGTCGTTTGTGTTGTAAAATATACGTTAACGGTTTTGTAAAGTGTCAAATTCACAAGTATTGGGTAAAGTGGAACGCAGTGTCACCATACCCAAGACTTGTATACTAACTATAGAGAACTTGAAAGTTCATGCTATGACTCCGATGCTCCATATTTTGATGATAAACAAACTCATTTAAGAATTACAAATCCGGCTCATGATGTGAACCAATTAGGTGACACATATATTAAACGCAAAGTTAAAGCAACTCTAGTTTCAAATAAAGCTTTCACATGTGATGCCGCTTTTAAATGCATGCGTTTATTCGTTGGTTTACAAATCATCAAATCAAAGCTTTAAACAATTAGAAGTAGAAACCGAAAGAGGTGATGCCGGTTATCTTCAGATGGATTGCGCCCGTGAATCTTTCGCATTTGCAACATATAAACCAAAATCAGAAAGGAAAGTTAAAAAGTTTGTTCATTCGTTATATAATAATGTTCAAAAATATGATAACTCAGTATGTGGTAAATATATTGACCCTTCAGAAGTTTTCAAGAGAGCAAATGAAGAAGTTGATGTCACTTTTGATATGATTATTCCGGTAAATGATTTGTTAGCATTTCAGGCGTTCGATGATTATCCTAAATCATTTGGTGATATCATTCTTAAATATTATGTTTTCAGGGATACTTTAGTATTTTGTCAGGTTGACCCGTTAAGAGTTGCTGATTTACAAAATTACGTTTATGAAAAGATAACTGATGAAAATTATGAAAAGATTATGAATCATGTTTATAAATATGATCGCAAATTCCAACAAATCGGACTTCCTGCCAAATTAATTACAAGCTTAGCCGCTACATCTGCTGACGCAACAGTTGATGACGTTATTATTTCATGCACAAAGATGGAAGTTTTAGAGGATAAATGCATTACACCAGGATACGGTTTAATTGAAGAATCAGTTAAAGCAATACCACGTTTATTCAGTAAGGAAGATCCATTCATGATTCCAGCTCAACATATTGACGTTCGTTCACTAAATGGAGGTTGCATCACTCCTGAAGGTATTAGCTCAGATTTCTCATACGCTCTTCATAATGTTACAGATGTTGTGTTAGCATTTCCGAAGAATGCAATGCAAAGAACAGTTTTAGAAAATCCAATGCTTCGAGGTCTTCAGGTCACTATAGATTCCAGAAACTTCCCCGATCAAGCGATGACCACAGTGGGCGACATATTCTTTAACACGTATGCTTCAAGCTTCTGATTTAGATGGAGTGAATGAATGCACAGAAGAATACGAGGACTCATTAACTAGACCACTGAATGCAGATGATGGCACGCCATTAGCTAGAACATGGAAAGACCAAACTTCATTCTTATGCACTATTCCAGTTCAACGTGATGGAGCGGGTATATTCTTTGATGGATTAGAAACTTTCAACTCACAAGTTACAGTACAAGTGAATGCTTATCCAATCATTCAGGGTGAAAATGACACTTACTGTTCAAAGGTGACAAATCCTCCTCAGGTTTGGTTTACTAGGACTACATATTGGACATGGACACCGGATGAAGGTTTGAAATATCATCCAACAGGTACACCACCACAGTATAGAAGTTCATATGATGAAATATTGATGAATAGAAATGTTTAAAATTATAAATTTATTTTTGATTAAATGGATTTAAATTCATACACTCCTTATGAAGAATTAGCAGGAGTATATAATACATACATAGATGATATGATTAATGAAGCATTGAGTGATAAGAAATGCTCTATCTAAGGAAAAATTAATGAAAATTCCATATTCTGAATGTTACTTAAATTCAATCACTGCAGCAATTGGTAAACAGAATAAAGTAAAACATTAACGATATTAAAACAAATTATCATTATTGCTAACACTTCCCCTATTCACACGTGTTAATTTATATCAACCGTTCAGGTTCACCTTCAGATGATACATTTGAATCTTTAAAAGCATTTAATCAAATTCCAATTATTTATTTATCACAAGAAGAAGCAGAAGATTATTTAAAAAACTTTTTAATGTATAAAGAATTATATAATACAATCAGAAGCAAGGATTAGAGGATAAAATTATTGATAAACAACGGGATGAATTATTTGAAACACTTTCTATTTCAAATTTTGATAGAGAATTTTTGCATTCACTCATTTTTCTAGATGATGCAGTGAAATCAAAACTAATAACAATGAGAAATCATATTTAATCAGTTATTAACTCAATGTCGACACATTCAGTGTTCATTCTTTATGGCTGTTCAATATTTCAAAGCATTAAGCACAAACATTAAATCAAATCTATCAACCCTTTTCATTTTCAGTGGGTTTAGTCGTCAACAGTTGAACGTTATGCTTTATCAAGTGAATTTACCAATGAGCATTAATGAACTTTACACACAATATCAGCAATTAGGTGAACATGGAAAAATAATAGTTGATTTAAATAAAGGAAGTGTTAAATTTGATTAACTTTTTATAATTAATTTTTATTTTTTATTTATAATTAAACATGACAGAAATAGCAAATCTTCTACAGGTTCCATTAAAACAAGGAACAAACAAAAAGGGTGCATATAATAGAACTATGAAAGTTCCTGATGGAATGAAAGAATTAGTTCATATTGTTGCTGGTCTTCAAAAAGATGTTAAACAAATGAGAAACGTTTTAACATTACCAGAAGCTCAAGCATATGCCAAACGTCAAGGTCCAAATTGGGAAGCACACGAAGCAGACATTACAGGTCCAAATGGAAAACTTTTTGAACTTGATGAAATAAATAACCTTATTAAATTTCCGCTGAAAATTAAATTTTGTACTCCTCATCTTCGTTCATTGTTGGGGATATTAAATTTTGAAAAAGATGTTGGGGATGTTTTGTATTCTGACACTGGTTCCAATTTCATTTTAGTCAAATGTGATAAAGTTAATACCCCAATGAGATTTTCACATCAAACATTAGACCCTAACTCTTACCCATCAATACAAAACATTTTATCCATCAACTTAAACACATTTTCTTTATCATATCCGTTTCAATTATCCGGGAATTCATTTATTCTTCATTCAAAAGATTTATCAAATATTAAATTTAGAATAACTGACCTATTTGATTGTGATTTAGAATTTATGAATGAAATATTATGGCAATTTCAAATAGAGAAAATAGCTGATGAGATAACGGATTAAATATTTATTTTTAAATCGTAATAAATGATTAAACAACAGCAACTTAAGGCGCAAAACGCCCAGGTCCTTCAGACCATTACATACGCCATATATGCATATAATTCAAAGACGGCAGAACAAACGCAAAGGTTGAAATATGGAGATTTGGAGATAGTATTGAAAAATGACCATTTCGAATTCGTTTGCAAAGGTGGTGCAGTGATATCAAATATAAAAGAAATTTTATTTATGAATTCTAAAATTAAAGGTATAACGGATGATATAACATCAATTCCACCAGAAGAACAGAGATATTATGCATTAAATGCATTTCCTAAAGTTTTGAAGATTGGAAGATTTAATTTAAATGAGGAATTCATAGAAGGTTTCCTAAACGACATAATGAAGAAGGTGGATAAGGAATATGTGGATAGTGAATTAAATAAGAAAGCAAATTTGGTTTATGTTGATGAAAAAGATAATGAAATTAAAGAAAAGGTTGAATGGTATCATGAATGGACATTGGAGACTTTTAAAGTTAAAGCTGATACAGAATGGGTTTCAGGATGTTTAGACCTTAAAGCAGATAAAACATATGTTGATGAAAATTATGCAAAGAAGTCGGAAGTAAATGATGTGATTACAAGCATGAAAAATGAAATACTTCAAACATTATATCCTGTTGGTTCTATTTATACGTCAATGAACTCAACAAATCCCGCAACAGTTTTAGGTTTTGGTACGTGGAAGCAGATTGTAGATAAATTCTTATACTGTGCTAGATATTCAAAGCAAACAGGAGGTTCGAAGAAAATTAAAGAAGCAAACTTACCCCCACACACTCATACAGGAACTACAAACTTTTCTGGCGACCATAGCCACTCATTAAGAGACCACCCATTATACAACTCAGAGTATGAAGCTGGCAATGACGTTTTATCTCCATCTTATAACAATGCAGCAAAAAAGACTTTTCGACAAACTGAACCGGGGGGAAATCATGTCCATACTTTCACAACAAATCCAACAGGCTTGGGTAAAGATTATATGCCACCATTTGTGACTATATTCGCATGGTACCGCATTCATTGAACGCGCTTGAGCCCAGACCTTTGGGTCAAGGCTTACCGAATGAACTAAATATATTTTATGTCTGTAATTAATTAGGTAATGAAGTAATGGATGAACTGCAGAAATAAATGTTTACGTTAATGTTTACGTTAATGGTTTCAGGTTATTCAATAATTAATTATTTTTGAAGAACTGAGGGTGTCACTATGTCACCATGTGTCACCAGGTTAATTAACTTCTCTGAAAAAATGAGACAACATGACATTTCGACAACAGTCCTGGAAATAAATGTTTACGTTAATGTTTACGTTAATGGTTTCAGGTTATTCAATAATTAATTATTTTTGAAGAACTGAGGGTGTCACTATGTCACCATGTGTCACCAGGTTAATTAACTTCTCTGAAAAAATGAGACAACATGACATTTCGACAACAGTCCTGGAAATATGATGCAGTCCAAAAATAAAGTTAGTTTTAAAACTATTTTATTTTTTTATTCCTATATAAATGACAGCAACAAACAACAACAGTAACTTTATCGTTTCTGATGAAAAAGTTATTGATTCATTAGCTGAGGAATTAGTTGTGGCAGAAACTAAAACCCTCAACGAAAGAATTGGTGAAAACAAGATTGATTTACATAACTACCTCAAACATGATGGAGGAAGAGGAAGGAAAACTGGTACAGCTTTATTAGCAAATAAAATATCAAATTTAACGATTATAGATGTTGATATCAATAAATCGTACAATGATGAACTTAAAGAAACAGTTAGAAAAGATATTTTATCAAAACTTTCGGATAAAGATGTTATCGTTAAAACCGCTTCAGGAGGTCTTCACATTTATTGCAACACTAATTTCTTCTATGCAGTTTCGAACAGAATGATTAAATGCTATTCCTGCAATGATTATGATGTTGATATCATGACTTCTATTGATGATTCAAAGCGTTCTTTAGTAGTTATGGCTGATTCAAGAGTTCGAAAGAATGCAACAGAACCAATCAATACATACTCATTCATTCGTGGAAGTTATGATTCAACATTAACTAGAACCGTAAACGATATATTAAATGATTTGAATATTAAGGTAAGAGTTGAACAGAAGAACGAAGAAATAAAGACTATCATGAATGAAAACAAAGATGTAAACATTGACGATAAACTTGCCCAGAGCATAGTTGATGGCATCAGTGATTTTGAAGTACATAATGACGGTGGAAACATGAATTTAGAAAAAGAAGTTACATTATTTACACTGTTTCAAGCAATTAATTCGTTACCTAATCATTTGATTAATGAAGCATACGATAACGTTTATAACTTCTGCAGCTTAACTGAAAATGCAAAAAGTAATTTTGAAAAAGCACGTAGTAGATATGCACATTTAATGACTTCTCCATTTGTTTTAGTGAAGATTCTAAAACTATATCAAAAGGAATATTATGATGAATACGTTTTACCTTTATTACGTAAGCCAAAAATAACATTTGATATCAAACTTGATGACTCGTTTTTGATAACAGATATTAGACGCAAGGCTGAAAATCATCAGTATAAAAACAGTTCTGAAGTAATTGAGGATTTATCACGTGTAATCCGTTTTGTAGATTGTGGAAACAAATATTTCATTCAGAAAGATTACAACATACACGATAAAATGAATCAAATATCATTCGTTCTTCAATCAAACATGAAAGAGTCACTTAAAATGATTAAATTATTTAAAGAAGAAGGTAAAACAATAACAGCATGGGACGTACTACTAAATCAATTGTCTTCATTAACTGTTAAGGGTGTTTGCTTTAAATCTAATTCTCCAGATGTTTTTTCAACGTTTCAAGGTTATAAATACAACGTTCTCGAAAAACCAGATTACTCAAAAATTGAGATGTTTATGAATTTCATTAAAGAAGCCATTTGTGATAATAACGATGAAGTGTATAAATACCTACTCGGCTGGATTGCATCAATGATTCAACATCCTGGAATCAAGAATGAAACAGCAATTATTTTGAAAGGACTTCAGGGAACAGGTAAAAACAGATTTACAGACATTATTTCTGAACTTCTCGCTGGTTATTCATGTAAAAACATTACCGAAATAGGTGAGCTAACGGGTAATTTCAATTCAGTAGTTGAGAATAAAATGTTTCTTGTACTTAATGAACTCAAGAATGTAGGTGAAGACAGACTCGCAAACTTCAACGCTTTGAAATCAATTATTACGGATAATGAGATTAGAATTAATGAAAAGAATCAACCCAGAAGAACTGCTCAGAATGTTGCAAACTTCATTTTCGTAACTAATAACGTTTACCCTGTCAAAATTGAAGTTGGAGACAGAAGATACGTAGTTTTAAGAGTTAATGGTAAATTCAAGGGTCAATTTGATTACTTCAAGAATTTAATGGATTCATGCACAAAGGAATTTTATGATAATTTACTGACGTATTTTATGCAATATGACCTTTCATCATTTAATGTACGAATCATACCGATGACTGAAGCCAAACAAGATTTAATTGAATTATCAACAAATCCTTTAGATGTATGGATAAATACACATTATGATGAATTGTGTGCAGGTATGACGTGTGAAAATGCTCTATTCTGCAAACCATCAGACATGAAAGACAAAAACTTTCAAATGAGCATTAAGGATAAATGTGAAAGGAAACAAAGAAGAATAGATGGTAAACAAACATGGTGTTGTGTTTTGAAAGAAGAAATGAAAGGATTATATAAACAGGTTGAACCAAACGATAATGAGGATTCATTTACTGACGATGAAATACCTGTAAATGAAGCTTTATAATGTATGATTTGAATTTATTTTTGCATTAATCCTGTTGTGTTGTCAAAATGTCATGTTGTCATCATTTTTCAGAGAAGTTAATTAACCTGGTGACACATGGTGACGTAGTGACACCTTCAGTTATTCAAAAATAATTCATAAGTGCCTTCCTCATTAATCCTGTTGTGTTGTCAAAATGTCATGTTGTCATCATTTTTCAGAGAAGTTAATTAACCTGGTGACACATGGTGACGTAGTGACACCTTCAGTTATTCAAAAATAATTCATAAGTGTCTTCCTCATTAATCCTGTTGTGTTGTCAAAATGTCATGTTGTCATCATTTTTCAGAGAAGTTAATTAACCTGGTGACACATGGTGACGTAGTGACACCTTCAGTTATTCAAAAATAATTCATAAGTGCCTTCCTCATTAATCCTGTTGTGTTGTCAAAATGTCATGTTGTCATCATTTTTCAGAGAAGTTAATTAACCTGGTGACACATGGTGACGTAGTGACACCTTCAGTTATTCAAAAATAATTAATTATTGAATAACCTGAAACCATTAACGATAAAATAACTGATAACAAAATTTTATTTTTATATAAATGGATACCCCACAAGCTCAAAATTTACCACGAATCATAACAAGGGAGGAAATGATAAAAATGATGCAAGAACTAATTAAAAACAACAAACCACGAAAACCGAGAAGATGCGGTTATGCAGTAATGATGGAAAGAAGAACCCAGAAGGGTTCGGGAAGAGGAATAAAAATTAAATTTGGATAGAGTTTAAAAATTCATCTTTATTAAATTCATCTCTTCCAATCAATTTATTTATTCTATTAAATTCTTTTATTTTTGCTTCACTCAGTTTAAGGATTGAACGGTAAGTTTCTAATTTTTCAATTATTTCTTTCCTCTCTTTATCGTTTTCAATTACTTTAGTTTTATGGGCATCAGCCCCGCCGCATTGCGGCTTCTTTTTGTAATAGCATATTTTTGATTTAATTCTGTTTAGTTTCTTTTTATATTCATTGTCTGGACTCTGAATCTTAATTGAATCAGGACTCTTGGCTGCTTCGTTGTCACTCATTTCTTACGAAATAAAAAAATTAAATATTATTTAAATATAATGGAGTAATAAAATAAATCGGAATTTCTATTAATTTATTGTCAACTTCAACTAATGCATTGCCGTTAATATATCTAACAAATTCAGCTATTGTGTCAAATCTTCGTCTTCTTTTTGTCATTGATTTATCAGTTTTTCCATAATCGAGATGAATCAAAACTTTATCCCCTTGTTTAAAATTCATGAGCCCCGAATTAATTTGTTCACGTTTAACATCATTCAACCTTTCCATTTGCTTTCTAATATATTCCCATTCTTTTGAAATATCATTTTTCATTTCCACTGGTTTCATGTTTATAGTTCTATGCCATGTATTATTGTAATAATATACTAACTGTTGTATGATGGAGTCATGATTTCCATCCCAGTATATCTGACCGTTAACCCCTAACGCATCTCTAAGAGTTCTCATTACCACATCAACTATTTTATTATGAAACGTATATGGAGAGGATGAAAAGAAAAAATTAATTTGTGGGAAATAATGAGCCATAGCTGCCTGAAACCCTTTATCACCATCACCCCTTATATTATCTACTCTTTCATGATCTAGTAAGTATTGTATAGCTCTTCTTGTTTCCTGTTCTGTTTTCCCTTTCACTGGAATGCAATATAAATATCTAGTGTTAATGTTAATGGCAAATAAATAAGTAACGTTTCCTTTTGAATATTCCAGATGATCGATTTCGTATGAATATGGATATGGAGCAAATGAAGGGCGACTAAATTTTTCCTTTAACGGTTGAATTTTCGGGTCAATTGGTTTCTTTAATATCTTGAAATCCTTTTTAAAATCTTTTTGCTTCTTTAATGTTTGAAATGGATATAATAAAGTGAATGATGAAGGATTAACTGAATGAGGAGGCGGTACTGTCGTTGGAGGTTTTGGTGTTGCAAGTGGTTTAATTTTATCTGCTTTGATTTTGGATTTCATTCCCCCCTTCATTAATTCTGGATGTATTCTATTCATTTGTTTTAAATATGCTGTATATAAAGGCTTGATATACTTTCCCGCTTCGAGTTTATGTTGAAGGATGAATTCCAAAAGTTGATCTTCATTTAAAAGTCGGGCTGAATATGGTTTAACTAATGAATCATAAATTAAAGCTTGTGCTTCATTTATAGTCTGAAGGACCTGGGTGTTTTGCACCTTTGTTTTTTGCGACTCATGATTATATAATTTATATAATTCATCAATATCTTCTTCTGTTAATACTTTATTTTTGAAATCTTTCAATCGTTTAAGTTGTGATTTAGTTTTTTCCTTTGTATATTCATTATTTTTAATTTTGTCTTTAATTTTAGAAATTATTTTATCATGATATTTCAAAATTTCATTTTTATAATACGGATAATAATAATCCATATCATCACCCGTTATATTTTTATTATATTTTTGGAGATATGATTTTAATTCATAATAAGTAAGAAAATTTTGATTAAGTACTAAATCATAAATTAAATTTTTTAAATCTGCGCTATTCATTTATATAAAAATAAAATAAGTGTTTTAAGGGTGCCCGCCTCTTTGAATCATAGTATCAAAACCATTATTTACGGTTCCTTTTGTCTCTTCTGTGGCATTTTATTAAAAATAAAATTTTAAATTGTATTAAATAAATGGCATACAACATCCATTTTCACAACATACAGCCTTAGTGTGTGCTCCTGTTAATGCAGTCTTCCTTTTTAAATTGATGTTTAAGATATTCAGGATTTAATACTCTACGTTTATATGCTCCTAACTTAGTTCTAAAGGTTTTTCTACAAAATTTAGGAATTCCATCCTCTTTAATGTCATCAATGATTTCCATTTCATTATTTTCAATTTCTTCTTCTCGTTTATGAGGTCTTTGATTATGACTCCATTGATTCCATGAAATTAAATATTCTTTATCATTATATTTATACCTCATTAGCTTATTTTGGCTTTCATATTCATTTAATAATTCACAATCTTCATTTTTAAATTGAAGTTTAACCCATTCAGGATTTAAACAATGTTTAATTAATCGCGGAATATCTGACATCATCTATATATAGCTTCTTTTATAAAAGATAAAAAAATAAATTATTTTAAAATTAATGTTAATTTTTTAAAATGTGTTTAGTATATAATATTTATTACTAATTTATTTAATAATGTCGCGCTTTCTTACGAATTCATGACTTAAAAAACGTAAGAAAAAATTTTTATATCATCTATATATAGAAGATGTGAAAATATACCTTCATCTATATATAGACGTAACAAAAAAAGTCACACAACCCTTCAACATATACTACTAATGAGATTTGTTATTATAGATGATTTTATTCAACAAACATGTTTAACTTATCATAGAATTAATTATTTTCGAACTAATATCCAAAATGATTCTATTTTTAATTTGAATTATATTCAATCTTGAGCATTTATGCCCATACTTTTATCACTTACCTCAATTACTTTATCAAAATGGATTTGAAGAATGCCTCATCCTCAATCTATAACTCAATTCTGAAATGAATTCAAAACCAGCTAATAACACTATACTCTTTACCAATACTTATGAAATGATACCAAATTAATTATAAACTATCATTAGTTTTAATATTACATAAACAAATAACTTTATATAAAAACAAAAACAATTAAAACAATACAATGTATTAGCATAATATGAGATATCCAAATTCTATTCATTGACGCTAAGATAACAAAGAAGTCTAGATTATCTTCTAATGGATCTTGAATTCGTCATGTATCAGGTAAACAATAAATTCTGAAAAGTACCAGATTAAATTTATGCACTTATCAAATCCTAACATTAGAAGCAAATAACACTTTCCCAAAGATTATAAATAATCTATTGATATCACAATGGAATATCAGGGATTTGTGAACTATTAATCAAAGACAAGAAAAATTGAGCAAAGACTATGAAATGCTGTAATATTAGTGTAATTAGGAAAAATTACAGACAATTTGTGAGCAAAGCATGAGGATAACTTTAAACAAGGATGTGCGTTGTTCAATTAATCAAAACTTGATAATTGAAATCTTAATTTCCTGATTTGAAAAGATAAAACTTTGTTTCTTTCTTGTAATTTTCTAAGTTTTTCTTTTCTTTCATTGAGTAATACTTTATTGTCTCTCACAGCTGATTCAAAGAAAGAAATTTTCTCTGGTATTCGTTTAATTACGCGTGTTTTTGGACTTTTAGAGGATTTTGGACTTGTTGTTAGCGAAAATATTTCCTTCTTTAATCGTTTTATTCTATCTGAGTGATCCATTTGGCTATTTGAAATTAAACCAATTTGTGTTTCAATTTTTTGTTTTCCCTCTTTAATTTGACGTCTAAGCTTAGACAATTCATACTGCAGGTATTCTCTAGTATTTTTCTCGCTTTTATCATATTTTTGAGCTCTTATATCAAATGCAATTTGGTAACTCTGTGCATCAGATGATAACTTTTTCATTCTTTTGTTGATTTCTTTTATCTTTTCGTTCTTTTCAGGAGAATCTTTAATATTAATAGCTTCTAATTGATTTATTTTACGAGACAATCTATCAGAACGCTTTTTAAGTCTACTAGATTCCGATTCAATTGAATTTAGCTCGTTTTGCGTTGATTCTTCGAGAAATTTAGTTTTATTTTCTGTTTCTGTTTGAAGTGTTTGAATCTGTTGAGTTATATTTTCTATTTTGTTTTCGGTTGTATAGTCAGGTGTAATACCTTCCTTTACATTATAAATTCTTTCTGCGGAATCTTTTTTCATCTTTTCGATTCTTGCATTGAATTCTTCAGTAATTGATTTGATTTGATCTTCTGTATTCTTTTGCATATCTTCCTTCTGTTTCTCTGTTTGATCCCTCAGATCGTTTATTTGCTGAATCAGTTCTTTCTTTAAGGAAGTATACTGAGCTGTAGTTCGCGCGATTTGCTGCTTCCTTGCAGCAATTTCATCATTCAAAATCTTTAATGGATCATATGTAATGAATCCATTCATAAAAAACAATATGTAAAATTGAAGTTAAATAGAAAAGAGTTTATAAGCATAAACTAGAGAGCCTATTTAAACTAAAACATACATATCATGATCAAAAATATCAGTATTTTATAATTACCATGACCAAGTTAAACAACTCATAACTCATCTCTATATAACACACTCAAGCCACATTGCTTAAATGACAAGAAAAAACGTGATAAATAAAAACAAAAAATTTTTTTCAGTGATTGACAAAACTACAAAGATTTATTCATTTTTCTTAGCCTCATCAGGAATTTCACGGCCTGGCTTTGTATTCTCCATGAAGATCATATAGACATAAAGAAGAACCCAGTATCCTGTTAATATTGCTAATGTCTTATCGTAGTTGACTGAGAAGAAGATACCAAGGACGCATAAAATAAGTCCCTTATACTGTGAATCGCTGATGTAATCGAATGGGAATCCTTTTAATACATCTCCACTATATAAACCAAGTTCCCAACCGTAGTATGCACGAACTTTTCCTAATCTTGTGTAGACAAGGTAATTGAATAATTGGCCGATTGCGATAAATGGTAATGTGAATGGGAGTCTCTTAAGAATGATGCCTGAGCTTAAGCACATAAAAGCATATGTGACAAAGCTAATGAAATGCAATATTGAGGAAACCCAGATCAATTGGTCCTGTGTTGCGTGTTGTAAGAAATGCTTTGGCCATTTGTAAGCCCATGTATAAATACCATATGGTAGGCATGATTTTTTTTTTAGTGTGCTACCCTCCAAAATTCAGTTTTGTGCGGTGAAACCTGTTATTGAGGAAAACTGTTGAATCTGGTCGTACCGTTTCGAGCCGTGTTTAAGCCATGCAAGAGTCAGACTTGGATGATATAAGTTATTAGTTGATCTGAATCTTCAATATCTAAGTTGATGTATTATTCTAGTTTTGAGCATACACATAGATTTTAGTGAGTATTTGCATATATGTCTTATCATTTATTAGTGGTTTACCGCATGATTTGCATTAAAATAGAATTGATTTGAGGAATAATTGCAAATAAGCGAGTAGTTATGTTATCACAGCTCCATAGTCCCCAAAGGGCTAGGGATTGTGTAATTAGTCGGATATGGCAAGCTGCTCTAAAGTTTCTTTCTCATCATATGGGAGACTTCAGCCGAACTTTGCCTTAAGGTAATTTTGTTGTGGTAGGTGGTTCACAAAGAGCGAGAGAACATGTATGTAATTCATTTATGCTGAAGATATCTGGATGTCTTTCAAAAGAGTAATGAAATCCAGAAATCTTCAGCATAAATTGATGCAGATGTGGTTCTCTGGATCTTTACTGGCCAGAATGCATATAAAAAGTTTCAATATAGTTAAAATAAAGAGTTAGTAATAAATTTCTTATTAATTGTAGAAACTTTTTAATTATATGTTAACTCATATTTCATATCAGTATGGTATCATGTTTTCATAGCGGAGATCTATCTATTTTATTATTATTAAAATAAATAGATTTAAACAAAGCTTTTGAACGGAATTATCGCAAGAAATGAATACAACAGAATTTGATAAGTTAATTCTATGATTTGATCTGTTAATATTTTCAGTTTTACTTGGAGAAATTGAAATTTGAATCACAAATTTTCCAAAAAAAATTCAAATTTAAAATTTTGAATGTAATAAATGAGAGATTTTTCATCATTTTCTCTATTTTGAAAAAATTTGGAAAAATAGCATGACTTCTGATTAAAGCACAACTTCAGGGGGAGTGAATATGTGACAACGCCGAGCTTATTTGCCCATATTTTGATAAAAATTCCAAATTCACGATTCAAGCAACTTAACAAATAGAAAAGTCTTTGGATTTTGCATTCTCATATGAAAAATGTTTTACATTTAATACATCGAGCTCAAAATGGCATAATCAAATTTTCAATTTCAATTTAGCAAAAGAATTACTTAGTGGGTTTGCATTATAATCACATGAATTACAGTATGAATATGATTATCACTACGTAAATACTACAATTTTAGCATTAACTACATTATTTCTAATAAAAATTTGAACGCTATGAAAAATGAATCTAGTTTCAACTATATAAAAAGCTTTATTGATGTCAGTCTTAATATCTCATTCTGGGAGACATTGCTAGTGCATGCCTCAGATAATGATACAATTTTGCTCAATCAGAAGTTGATTGGGGAACTTTTGACCGACGAGAGTGTATTATGCACTCTTGTCGGTAACAATGTGCCATCCGTGGAGACATTGCCTATGCATGTCTCCCACAATGGCACAATCTTTTTGCAATAACAAGACGTTAGCACTTTGCCTGTCACATACATCTCGACAGAGGCAACATTCGATATGAAAGTTTCCTCTGTCGAGAAACTTCCTCACACCTCAAGAGATGCGAGGAACTTTTGACAGGCAAAGTGCAATATTGATAGGTGATTGCACTTTGCCTGTCACATACATCTCGACAGAGGCAACATTCGATATGAAATTGCCTCTATCGAAATCTATTACAAATAAAAAAGAATTCCATCCCACTTACACTCTATAATACAACACTATCAATATGATCAAATCACATCCATATTAAAATATGAAAAATCCAAAATTATTCTCTCTCAAAATCATATATCCACACATATCACAACGCGTTGTTGCAATTTCTTCATAAATACTAATTCCAATCTTATATAATATACAAAAAATATCTTTATTTAAATATATCTTAGTACATTCAATAATAATTATACTGGGGACATCTATCACATTAAGTAAACACATATTTATTATGATTTTAATAAAATATATTTAATATCTTTTTCAATATATAGTATTTATGCAGCATTATATGGTGTTTTCTCTTCCCTATCTGTCATATGTTATTATGAGAGTGTATAAAAATTTTGCATGTTTTTCGTCTTTGAGACGAAAAACATGCAAAAAAAAACGAAAGATGCGCGGTTGAGCCAGCATCGGTAGTGGTGCATGGGTTGATATATGTTGTGCCTCAATTTTAAAATTTTGTCAAAAGATGAATCAAATTAAGAAAGTATTATGAGATAAGAAATTAGATTTAATGTTATTGAAGTTATATGAATATTTATAAGATGATTTGTTATGTAAAGTAGTAGAATTAGGATAATGAATTTGTATTTATTTGAGATGTTAGGAAGTTTCTCGGCAGAGGAAACTTTCGTATCGAATGTTGCCTCTGTCGAGATGTATGTGACAGGCAAAGTGCAATCGTCTTATAGTATTGCACTTTGCCTGTCAAAAGTTCCTCGCATCTCTTGAGGTGTGAAGAAGTTTCTCGACAGAGGAAACTTTCGTATCGAATGTTGCCTCTGTCGAGATGTATGTGACAGGCAAAGTGCAATCGTCTTATAGTATTGCACTTTGCCTGTCAAAAATACCCCCATCGTCTTTTGATTCCCAATAGATTGTGCCATTGTGGGAGACATGCATAGGCAATGTCTCCCGGAATGAAACATTGTGACTGACAAGAGTGTGTTTTGCACTCTTGTCCGTTAAAACATTTATTTGTAATATCAAAAGTTTTACAACGACCGCGGTTCTTTCCAGTATTCTGTTGATTTCAAAAGATTTTGATGTTTCATATGTTTTCAGTCTTGACAAACGTTCCAGGATGAGATCCATATTTTTAACTCTTTAAAAGTTAAGGGATCTGAAATAGAATGATAACCTCTCCCTTGGCATATGATTTTGTTCGTCAATTTATGTTATAGCAAAAAAAAATAATAATAATTCTGGAAATTGGCTATGATAGCATTTTCAACAAGATTCTATCAAGACGGGATGAACTGTAAGAAACGTGGGTGATCCTAAATGACGTGTTAAAGGAAAGTCAATAATTTTAAAAATCATTATCCAAAACTTTCATTGAATACTATGAACTCAAATTCGATAAATAACGTCGCACAACTGGTGTATTCATCAGCTTTGAGCTATTACGAGACAACAAAAGTAAAGCGATTACAGCTTTTGTTTTCAATCAAATGAGAATCTTAACATCGCACAACTGATGTAAAGATCTGCTTTGACTTACTAGCACATCCGTAATACGGATTACTTGGCTGCTCGAGAGAGAAAACCAAATGAAAAATGGCACCTTTTTTGGCGCCTCTTTTTCTTTCAAATTTCCCCGCCAACCGAAATATCCATTCAAATCTTCCCGCAAATATTATTGCTTTCAATTTCTGTGACACTTAAAATTCGTCCAAAATATAATATTAAGATAGGTTATCCAATGTGATAACATAATTACTCGCTTATTTGCAATTATTCCTCAAATCAATTCTATTTTAATGCAAATCATGCGGTAAACCACTAATAAATGATAAGACATATATGCAAATACTCACTAAAATCTATGTGTATGCTCAAAACTAGAATAATACATCAACTTAGATATTGAAGATTCAGATCAACTAATAACTTATATCATCCAAGTCTGACTCTTGCATGGCTTAAACACGGCTCGAAACGGTACGACCAGATTCAACAGTTTTCCTCAATAACAGGTTTCACCGCACAAAACTGAATTTTGGAGGGTAGCACACTAAAAAATCTATGCTTTCCCTTTGAAAAATTGAATTAAATTTTGGTCAGATGGATAATCAATTTCCACTACTCTTTCGAATGGAACCATGCTATAGCCTAAACATTGGGATGCCATTTTCATGTCATTTCCAATGCAGCATGAAGTTAAACATTGTATTTTAATTCATTTTGATTGTTCGAAAATGTAATAATTATTAGCTAACTATGAATCAAATTCAAGTGTGTAGATGTCTTGACATTGTATGGATAGATTTGTTCATCATATAATACAGCTATTTATTCAATTTTTTGTTAATTTATTTGCATTCTTAAATTTATTTAGCGTGAAATTGAATGGAAATACTATACCAAGTTTCAAAAAGTTTATTTGGATATAGGTAAATAGCTAAATCTATTATCATATTATAAAAAAAATCATTTTACTTTTTCTAAGAAAAAAAGTAGTTACTTATGATTTCTACTTACTTTTTGAAAGCAACTTTTTGAACTCTTCGCAAGTGAGCTCATAATTTCTGATTGAAAATTCGATTCCGGAGAGAGCCATGCGAGCTCCGAAAGTAATTGCCAAATTCTTTGGCTTCAAAACATTAGGGTTACGATCAATAAGATATCTTACTGATATTGAGGCAGTATGTCCGATTGCATTTGCAAAAAGATAGCGGCCAAGCTCTTTAAAGTATGATTCAGATAGCTCCTTGAATGCCAATTTATATGTAAGATTAGCTGCCATGAAATCAGTTGTGAAGCAAGCATAGTTTTTCAAGGCCAATTTGCAAAATGCTGTTCTTTCCAAATCTTTGTTGATGTATGCTTGATGACCTACACTTAAAAGAGATGCTGGAATGCTTGATAAGGCTGTTGCACCAATTTCACGAATTAATCCTTCACGATTATTTGGAAATTGCATTTTTCTGAAATTACGGTTTACAGAAACCGATAACTTTTTTCAATTCATTGTCAAATTACAATTTATGGGGTCATGCAAATTTAAATAGGGGCAAATGACCAATAATTAAAAAATATCAATAAAGCACGATCTTTTATAATAAGTTCTATAAGAACGATAAACTTTATAAAAAAATATAAATAAAATATAAGATTATTTTGATGGTTCTCTATCTTCTTCTATAGGATTAACATTCATCTCAACGCTTGTTTCTCTCTTACCTTCCTCAGCAGGTTGAACAATCAAGTGACGGCCAGCAAGGTGGACATCTTGCATTGCATCGAAAGCAGCTTGTGCAGCTTGTCTTGTTGTAAAGTCGATGAAGCAGAAACCTCTATGGCCTTGCTCATTTCTCTTTTTAGTCATTCTAATTGCCTTAATATTACCTACGTGTTTAAATGCTTCAGCAATTTCTGATTTCTTAGTAACAGTGAATGGTAAGTTCTTAACAATTAATGTTGTTGTCTTAATTTCAACCTTTGGTCGACAAGATTTTCTTTCATCTGTTTCAACGCCAGTTCCAGTGGTGCAGCCATCTGGAGCCCATTGAATATATATAGGGGTATCATGAAGGAGTCTGTAATTCAACGAATTGAACGCCTTTCTTGCATCATCGCCTCTTGCAAATTCAACAATTGCAACTGAATGAGTTGGAGCAAGGACAAATCTGACGAGTGTACCTTTGGATGCAAAGATGCCGCGGAGCTCTTCCTCGGTCGTCTCCCATCTAAGGTTCTTTATAATTAAAACTGTTTTTGAATAGTTTATTTTATCGGCAGATTTGAAACCTTCATTCAAAGCATCAACATCTATACCGTGCTCGATGAACAGCTGCTTTGTTTCTTCAATGAGCTGTGATTCTGCGATTGCGAGACGTGCCATAACGTTATCTGACTCTGGATTCAAGACATCTGCTTTTGTAACACCGATTCTATCAGCAATTGCATCAGCAATAGTGTTTTTATCCATGATGAGAGGGTTCATTGTCTCTGGTCTGTATTGTTTGAGTCTCTGTTGCTTCTTTTCTTGGAATGTTTGATCATCATCTGGAATTAGGTCAACTTTCTTCTTTTCTGGCTCTGGCTCAGATTGTGCGAGTTGTAGATGACGTCCTTCGAATATAACTGATGTCATATATGCTTTTGTGGCTGATTCTAAATCTGCAAATTTTACGAAGGCAAAACCACGGTTTTCTCCTGGAACTTCACTTGTAGGAAGGGAAACATCTTCGACAGGACCGAATTCTTCGAATCTTGCTTTGATTTCTTCGGCAGTTGACTTATAAGGAATGTTTTTGACGTATAAACGAGTAGTAGTAATAGATACTGGTTTCTCTTCCTCTTTCTTTTGTTCTTCTTCGTTGTTTTCTTCTTCTTCTGCGTTATCTTTCTCAGATTCTTGTTCTTTCTCGTCTTGGTATTGTTCTTCGAAGCCAAATCCATCATTCCATGATGCACGCATCTGTCTTGGCTTGTGTGCTGCAAGAAATTCTTGAAATGCGGGGTCAAATTTTTCTTTTGGCTGATCTTTGTTGTCACGATTGAATTTTTCAATTTGTTTTTCCTGTTGTTTTTCAATTTTTGCAAATTTCTTTCTTCTTGCCCATGTTTCGTCTAATTGCTTTTCACCGATCGGAATAGCGAATTCTACGCCAATTCTTCTTGATTGAATGAATGTATTATCGAAATACTTTTGTGCCTTTTCGGCTTCTTCAACAGTTTTGTATCCTATGTAAGCAATGCAACGAGATTTGCCACGCTCTGTTCTAATGACTTTACAGTCTGTAATTTCACCCATTTTAGAGAATTCTTTCACGAGTTCTTTCTCTTCAACGCTCTTTGGCAAGTTGCGGATGAAAAGACGAGAAACAGGTTTTCCTTCCATTGCTGGACGATAGAAAATTTTGTCCAAATTCAAAATAATACACATCAATCCTTAATCAAGCATATGAACGTTAAATCGTTCTAGATTCATTTTATTCGCTATTTGTACCCTTTGGATCATTATATATCAAGAATACAAAAAGGATCATGATACCTCTTATTACAAAAGCTAAAATGAGCTACTTTTATACTATCTTCATACTTTACTACCGGAATTTTAATCTTTTCATGCGAAAGTATGAAGGTTATTCAATTTCAAAATATTGTACCATGAATGTGTTGAAGAAGCTTAATTTAAAACATTTCAGAACTTTGTTATGATAAGTTTGAATCTCCATAATACATACTTATAAATTGCAACGAATTCTCATATCTCATAGGATATGAGGATCCTGCTTTGTATACCACAAAATGTAACGACACCGACGATAACACATCTCATTTATCCTAAGAATGGTCATAAATTCATTGATGAAATCGAAGAACTTACATTTCTTTACTTTTAATGGATGAAATAAACATCTACATGATAAACATTTTATATCCATAATAAAATCAAATTGTTCTGTTTTTTTTTAAACAAATAATGAAAAATTGAATGGCAAGCGATTATACGTTAATAATAGTTTCATGACCCAAGCGAACCAGATCAGCCTTGAACAATTCCGAGTGATGGGCATTGATCGCTCGCCAAATACAGGCATTTATTTACTCGGAGAAACCACTGTTGTTTATTTCGCAGGTAATAATATTGTTTCTCATAACTGGGAATTGAAGAAACAGAAATTTTTGCCCTACACAGATACAGCTCGTGGTGATGTTAAGTGCGTTGCTGTTTCTCCTCCAACTCAAAATGGCCAAGTCTTCTTAGCTTATTCTTTAGAACTTGATGCTTCCATTATATACATTGTAGAACTTAATACTCTTAAGCGCCAGAAATCTATTACACTTCCAAATTCAACAATGTCGTTTACTGCTCTCGCTTTTAGCGCTGGTGCACGTTATTTGATTGCCATGGGAAATACTGATTCTCAGATCTTTTACTTCGATATTACTAATGGTTCTTTAGTCGTATCCCAAAAAGTTACTGGCAATGCTTCAACCAGTACATTTAATACAAGTGTAAATTGCATTTCTTTCCATCCAACTGATGTCAATACAATTTGCTGCACTGGTAAAGGAGTTTATAAGCTCCTCGTCCGTAGCGATAAAGGATTTAACTATAAACAAACGCCAAGCAAAGATACATACGATTTCAAAGAACACATCTTCGTAGGCCTTGATAGCCGTATCATCGCATCATCTACAGATGGTCACCTTTACTGTCTTGATACTCCTAATTATTCTATGCAGATCCCTATCAAGAATCAAACAAATGGCCCAATTACAAACCTTACTCTTACACCAAAAGGCTTCGTCTGCGTTACAGGTGGAAACACAATCCACTTCTTCGACAAACAAGCCGATTTAAAGAATTTCACAGAAGGAAATTCAATTGTAATCGACGAAAACAGCACAATTGTTGCTTTGGCTGTTTCTCCAGGCGAAGACAAACTCATGGCCCTCATGAATGATGCACGTCTCATTGCAATTCCTCTCAATAATACAGATCCAAACGCAAATCAGAACGAAGGACTCGTTACAGTACTTCCATCCCACCACATTGGTGTTGTTACAGGCATCGACGTTGCATATCGCAAGCAACTCCTTGTTACTTGCGGTGAAGATCAGTCAATTCGTGTTTGGAACTACGATAAAATGGTTTGTGAGGTCAACCATTACTGCAAAGACCCGCCATTATCAGTATCATTCCATCCGAATGGTTGTTTCATGATTGTTGGCTTCCCAGAAAAAATTGCATATTTGGCCGTTACAGTAAACGACTTAGTTGTTCAACACGAGTTCGGTATCAGAAACTGCAAGGACCTTAAGTTCTCCCACGGAGGTCAATACTTCGCTGCGGTTAACCAGAACTCAGTATCTGTTTATTCATCATACACATTTAAGCCGGTTGTCACAATCAGATCACAAGGCCAAAGAGTTGCAACATTTGCATGGTCCACAGACGATAACCATATCATAACATGCGACATGAGTGGTCAAATGGGAATTTGGGTTGTCAGATCCGGTAAATCCCGTACATCATTGACATCTCAACAGACCCATCACTTTATTTCAATTGTCGCTACCGATCCAACATGCGCCCGTTGCTATGGTATCACTGCTCCAGATAATACTTTACGCGAAACAGAGGACACACAGACAAAGAACCAACTGGATGTCGTAGCTGTACCTTGCCAAGTTGTTATGGGACCTTCTAATAGGTGCTTGTTCGTTTCAACAAGGAACGGAACGATCAGAATTTACCATTTCCCAGGAACTTCAAATTCTGTCAACAATTTCCCTACAACCGATTCTGTAACGGAAACTGTAGCACACCACACGCCCGTAACTGCCATGGTCACTTCCCCCGACTTCCAGTATCTGTTTTCTTCAGGCGAAGATGGCTGCATCTACATGATGAAGATCAATGGCGTCGACCAAGGCAACCAGAGATCAGATGCAAAGATCACTTTCTCAGAAGATGTCCTCATTACAAGATCTGAGAATGTTGAGCAGCTCAAGAAGCTCAGAGCAGCACAGCAACGCGTCAGAGAACAAAGCGAAACTAATGCTAACAAGCTTGCAACGTTAAACCAAGGTTTCGAACAGTCAATTAAGACAATCCAAGAAAAATTTGCTGCTGAACAAGCCGCTGAGAACCAGAACATGGCCGCCCTTGAGCAGCAAATCGAGCAGATGAACCAGGAAGCCTGCGAACAGATCCAAGCAACAAACAAACGTTTCGCAAACGAAGAAGAACAAAAATTAAAGAGATTCGAGATGTCCAAAGAGAACGAAATGAACCAACAAGAACAGTTGAAGCTCGATATCGAAGAAGCACGTAAAGAATGGGATGAAAAGCTCAAGAAAGCAATAGCTGCAAACCAAGCATCTCGTGAAGAAGCAGAAAGGAAATTCCAAGAACAACTTCGCTCATTGGCCGAAGAAACACAACGTGTTCAAGAAGAAAAGAACGCGATGATTGAAGAATACGACAAATGGGAGATCGAAAGAAGCCGTGAACTTGCTTTTGAAATCGGAAAGAGAGAGTTCGAAGCTTTGCAACTCAGAAAGGAAGAACTGAAGAAATCAGCAGAACTCGAGCAACAAAGCAAGAGAATGGAAGAACAACTGAAAGAAGCAAAGGCAGCAGAAGCAGATGCAAGAGACAAACTGAACAAGAAAGCAGCAGAAGTTGCAGGAAAGCAAACAGATATTGCTCAGGCAAGACATCTAAAAGAAACAAGAATTCACGAACTGAAAGAACTCAAGCACAACTTAGAAGAGAAAGATGCAAGAATCGATGAACTCACAAAACAAAACTCCAACCTCGAAAAGCACAAACAATTGCTTAACGACAGAATTGCGGATTGGAACAAGAAACTTGAGCCAGATCAAGCCAAGTTGCAGGATATCACAATCACATGTGAAAGAATGCAACAAGAAATGCAGAGATACAACAAGAACCACGAACAACTTCGCTTGGAATCGAATGAACTTCGTCTCAAAATCGATGCAAAACTTAGAGAAATCGATACAAGAACTAAAGAATACGAAGAAGTCAGACAAATCATTCGCCAGTTCAAGCTTGAAGTTCACAATGTTTATCAGGCTCTTGAACAGGATAAGAACAACACGACACACAAGCCAAAGAGATTTTCTCCATGTTTGGAAGCCTTGTACAAGAAATATGTTGGTGACGAGAGTTCATCAAAGAGAAAGACAGGTGTCACTGATATCCAAATCGAGAGAAACAGACAGCGCGATGCACTTGAAAGAAACATCACAGCTGTTGCAAGAAGACTCTCTAGAGGTGACGAAGAATCAAAGAGAACACAAGAGAGAAAGATGGCTGAATCTGTTACATTGATGACACAGATTTCAGACTTAAGAAGACAGATCCAGAATCTCCGCATGAAGAAGGAGATTTTGGAAGAGTCTCATAAGTCAATGTTCAGCCAGGAAGAGTTGCATAAGATTATCCAGATGCAGGAAGGAAGAATCAAAGAGTTGACAACACAATTGAAACAGTTACAACTCCGCGGAAATGTATCAAGAAGACCAGCAATGTCAAAGGAACGTTTGCCACCAATGAATATCAACGAGTAATTTCATCTTTTATATATATATTTTATATTTTTATATTAATTTTTTTTTCTTCTTCTTTTATTTATTGTAAAATATCAGTTTTCTTTTTTTTATTGGAAAATCAAAATTAACTGACATTCTACCAATTTATTTTGTCATGCGTGACTTTATTTCCAATTTTCTTAAGGAAAAAGTTATTATATATACAATATAGAACCTAATATATCTAATAAACTTTTTTTGTTATTAAAATAAGGATTTATTGATTTGGTTAGAGAGTGTCAGACACTTTTTTAATAACATTCTTAACAATTTTGAGGGAGTTTTCAAATTTCATGCTTGGTTATTGTCATCTCAAAATATTTAAAGGAAATTTCCTATTGCAATATGTACCCATATGGATTCATGTATAAATTAATATAATTACACTGATTGTTATCAAATTTATCTCCATTGAAAAAGGAAATTTCTGGACAACAGATTTGAGTTTTTCATATCAAATATCATGTTTTCCTTTTATTAAATAGAGGAAAGATAATTTTGAGGCGTACTAGTATAGGGAGTACGATTATTTTTCATTCAATGACGTCTCAGTACATGTGTCAGAAAGTTGAATTGCTATTAGAAGGAGGCAAATATTATCTTATATTAATTTCATGAAGAATATATAATTATACAATAGATTTAAGTTATATAACCTTTTATAAGCCATTCCTAAAAAGTTTTGGAAACGACGATAGAATACTTTTGGCCAGGGAAGGAACCCTTAAAATTATTTAATTTCACATCATAAGTCGGCCAATGAATTCCATTCATTTTAGAACATATAATGAATTACTAGGAAGATTCACAATTTTTGGCCATTATAAATTGAATGCAATTTTTGAGATGACACATTGAAAATCCACCAAGTATTCTATATTATTTTTGTTTGAATTTAGATAAACCATGCATATATAAAAATACTATAAATTAATTAAGGAGTCGCTTCATTTTATTCTCTGAAATTGTTATCAAAAGCTAAAAATATTTTTCAGAAAATTATAAAAGGATAATTTTCATATATTATGATTACTCTCTTTCATATAAATATATTTTATTAAGTATGAACTATGACGCAAAAGCACATCATACTGATCTTATGAAAATTGAAAAGCAATGAACTGAGTTCATTTTTAATACAAGCATAATGATTTCATTGTTCTTACAGAGCGTATATTGCAGGAAAGTTACAGGAAGATATACTGAAAGTAAGTTATGGGATACACTTGAAGAAAACTTACTAATTGTTGATTGCGTTTTTTCCAATCTTGGGGGAACGACGGCATACTCTCCGGTGTGGATAGATGGTGGATTGGGAAATAAAATCGAAGTATTGAAAACAATGTTCCTTGAATGCTCTGCTCAAACAAATGGTCCATTTGCATTTGAAGGAGAATTCTACCTCAAAATGGATAAAGTTTTGGATGCCAGAAATTATGCAGGCAGTGGAAATAATGGAGTTATGGGAAGAATCTCTACCTCAGGCGAGTATAACATTACTATGTCTTCATTCATTGATAATACGGGTGGTGCGAGGAACATACGTCTCGAGAATACTCCAAGATTCTTTGAGAACTTAAATGTTTCAGGAAACTATGCTTCAAGTTTAGGCCATGGGTATGCGTATGGAAACTTCCTACTTGACCATGCCAAAACATCCCCTGTTGTAACATGGTGCAATTTCGAAGAATGCCGCTCATCATGTGGTATTCTATACATTGCAAGTAATACAGGACAAACAGTTGTTCAACATTGTAACTTTGTTAAAAATCAAGTTGATGGCTATGGTGCAATTGGTGTTCAACACTCCAAACCTGTTACAATTAAGGATACTATTTTCTATGGTAATAGATATAAAAAGAGTCCTGTTGTATATGCTTTGAATACTGTAGCTCAAGTAAGTGGTTGTTATCTTGATGTAAATGATTTTGAAGGTGTATCTTCAATTGAGAATAATATGGTTACATCAAAGAAGCCTTATGAAATGACATTATTTGCAACTGAAAGAGTCAAGGCAGCTGTTCCATATACTCCTGAAACATCAACAAACAATAATGGTAACAATAATGGAAATTCAGGAAATAACAATGGAAACACAGGAAATAACAATGGAAACCATCAATCATCAGGAGAAGGCGAAGCTAATGCTTCTACGCAGAGCGATGGCACACCAGCTAACCAAACAGAAGGCTTCTTCATGAAGAAGGCAGGCTCACTCAGAGTATGGATGATCTTTGTCATTGTTGGATGCGTTCTCATTGTTTTCATCATTTGTGTTGTTATTTACAGGAAGAAACATCACCATCACCATCATCACCACCATCACCACAAAGGAGATGGTGATGACGAAGATGAAGAGGAAGAAAATGCTGAGGCCGAAGAAGCACCTCAGCCATAATTCATCCAAAAGAAATTGTTCATTTCACCCCATTATTTGTAAAAATTATATATTTACTAATTTTCTTTTGATCAATTAGACTTTTTGCTAAATGAGCAAAAAAAATAGTAAGGAATTAGTCATAATATAGCGTTACAAAGCCAGGAGTTAAAAATCTTGTTTATAGTATTTAAAAGTGTACTTGCCATTTTCTCATACATTCTCAGCATGCTCTAATTCTTGTGGTATATTTTTCCTGAAAATAAGTAGATTTTTTTTGTTGTGAAGAAAAAGTGACAAAAAGTGATAGAATGTCAGATGGGCGTAAGTTCATCATTAAAAAAATCAAATTAAATAAAAAAATCTCTATTCTTTATCATTTTGTTTCTTATCCTTTGGACTTTCTCTTCTTGTTTTTGACTCAATTATCTGATCAACAAGTAACAACTGAGTAGCAACTAAAGGAGCACTTTGTATAAAAGCTCTTGTTGCACTATAACTGTCGTATAAACCGAAATCAGCCGGATCTATTATTTCTCCTGTATCAGCATCAATTCCACTCTGTTCTCCACTTTCCAAAGCGTTTTGGAGTTCAGGAACAACTTCACTTGGATCATGTCCACAGTTTTTCGCCAGTGTTCTTGCGATTTCAATAAGTGCTCTACTGAAAACAGCAGAACCAATTCTTAGTTCTGCATTCATCTTCTTCATCTCCTCATTGATTTTCGTGGAGACGGAAACTTCAGCACAAGCAGCTCCTGGCAAAACTTTTCCATCATCAATCGCTTGTTTCAATGCCCACAAACTGTCTTTAACTCCATCAGTAATCAGGCCTGCGACTTGGTCATTAACGCCGTTGACGACAATGGTGACGGCCTTCGGATCTTTGACTTCATCGACATAAACGTATTTTTGACCTTTGTAACTTTCTTCTGTCACTTTTCCTGCAAAACCGAGGCATTGAGGGGAAAGATCGTCTACGCAGTTGACTACATGGCATCCGCATGCGTGGATGAATCTGTTGATGTTTTTGGCGGATACACGACGAAGAGCGGAGATTCCTGCGCGAGAGAAAATATCTAATGAAGGAGAATCGATTCCTTTGCCATTAACTACAAGGAAATCACAGTTACAGGCATCTTTGAGTGCAATGATCGCTTTAACTTTGTCATCAACGAATCTGCGCTCTGCAATCATTAATCTTTCTTTTTGATCGGCATTTGCAACGGGAGCGTATGTTGCATATGAACTTGGCTCAAGTTCTAAGCTGATGTTCATTGCAAGAATGCGAACATCTTTCATTTTCTTTGGCATCATATCATTTCTAAAGCCTTGATCAACAACAACACCTTTGACTAGGCGGATTCCTTGCATAGTATTCTTGATTCGAAGAATTTCAACACGATCGAGATCAATCGGCTCGTTATCGACCTTAATACACTGAATTGCATCGACAATCGTATCTGAAATGTCTTTTGGGTATTTCGTTTTGGCTGCTGTCCTTGCAATATCGCGGAGCATCGAATGTGTTGGGTTCAAGTTGATTGCTATTTCCTCGAGATGTTTCATTGCAATATCACGGGCTTCTTGTAATCCTCTAACTATCTTACGAGGATGAACGCCATCTGATATGGCATACTCTGATTCTTTAAGTATTGCGTCAATTAACGTAATGAGCTTATTTACACCATCATGATACATTTTTTCTTGTGCCATAGCTGCGCGAACAATAAAAATTGCTGTTGGATGAATAAATGTAAGTCTTTGAAGAAGAACACCACCATCTTTCGTTAACGTTAATGGTCCATTATCCATTTCAAGCAATTTTGTTGATCCATATGGACCGATTGATGCTTTAAAGAGTTCTGCAATAAGATGTGATGATGAAAAGTTGATACTTTGTGTCTGTCTGCTCTCAAAAATAACTGATTGTTGTGTTTCCGTCATCAAAATCTAAGTTGACAAAAATTTTAGTCCTCTCAAAAGATTGGCTTTTGTTTGCATTACACAAGGGATCATCTAGAAACACTATTTATCCAATCCAAATATCTCCATCTACATACAATTTAATATGATTAAAATAAAATCATGGGATTTAGTATGAAATACATCATGTTCATCACATATAAGAGCATGAGATCTAGTGTTCCATTTAATATGGTTTGGTTCCAGTTCATTTTTATGTCTGAATTTGATTATTACTTTGATAGTTATTCTCTAGCAAATATTCACAAAGAGATGCTGAGCGACAAGATAAGAACAGAGTCATATAAAGAAGCTATTTTTAAAAACCCATCGTTATTTAAAGATAAAGTTGTATTAGATGTAGGATGTGGCACAGGAATTTTATCATTATTTGTGGCTTCATGCGGTGCTAGTCGCGTTTACGCTGTTGATAATTCAACAATCATTGAAACTGCAAAGAAAATTGACAAAGATAACAATTTAGAAAACAAAATTACATTCTTGCAAGGCAAAATAGAAGAATTACAGATACCAGAACGAGTTGATGTTATTATTAGCGAATGGATGGGATATTGTTTATTATATGAATCGATGCTTCCAAGTGTTATACAAGCAAGAAATAAATACATGAAACCTACAGGAACTATGTTTCCTAATAAAGCAGAAATGAAGATATGTGGAATTGTTGATGAAGAATTTTACAAGAGGAAGTTTGATTTCTATAATAATATTGCTGGTTTCGACATGAGCGCATTTAAGAAATGGATGTTTTATGAACCAACTGTCTCATCTATTGAGTCATCGCAAATTATAACAGATGAAAAAGTCTTTCATACATTTGACTTAAATAAGTGCACAGTTGACGATCTCTCCTTCTCATCTGATTTCAAGATCAATCCTCTAGATGAAAGTAAGATGTACGGCTTATGTGTTTCATTCAACACAACATTTGAAGGTCCAGAAGCGACGGTTATTCTCGAAACATCACCATTTTACACACAGACTCATTGGGCTCAAACATGCTTTTATTTTGAAGATCCAATTTCAATAAGTTTTGAAGATGATATACATGGAACATTTTCTATGAAACCATCTCCACAGAATGTAAGAGACCAAGATATATCCATTGAGCTTAGTCATAATGGCGATGAAAAATCTTTGAAATATAGATTAAGATAACCTTCTTTGTATATAAACATTAAAAATAGAATGCATATCTGAATGAGTTTTTATTTATTCACATTTAAAGTTTATCCACATCAAATTTAGTTTTTGAAAGTCACTTTTTGTGATTGATTATTTCTCATTTTTTCTTATCTTCTCTTTCACTCTAAAATTTTATTCAAATTGAACAGAAATCAGACTTCACAAAAAATGTCACCTTTATTAATCGCATTCCACACATGGAGAAAATCGATCCATGTATCGAAAGAAACTCAAACATGATCTTCAATATGTATCAGGTTAGCTTAATCGCTAAGCCAACCAAGTTTGTTGTTGTTCCTTCTAACGTAACGAAAGAATATCAACTTGAAATTAAGCAGAGAACAACATACGTTCAGAATGAAAACGGCATTTACACACTTTACATAGATGATATGGAACCACTTCATGTTAACGGCGATGACGGCTTTTCACAAGTTTCATGGGGGCAAATTCAAGGTCAAAACGGACCAATTAAATTTATTGTTTGCTCTCAAAAATCAGGCTTTAAGGCACCTGTAGTACTCAGCGGTCCATTTACTGAAATGGAACTTTGGTATGATGCTTTAAGGTACATCGTTGCAAGTACACCACCGGAAACAGAAACTTCTAAGAAATATCTTAATTATATCGTCCATGGCTTTGAACTCCCGAATTCAAAAGAATCAACTCCAGAAGTACCACCTCCACCTGAAGACGTCAATTTCTAATAATAACAAAGTATGGGTGATATATTGATTTGTATCTTAATATAAAAATCGCATTATTTCGCATGTTAATTTATTTTTGAAATGTGAAACTTGATTATGAGTAAAATCTTATTATAAGTTTATATACCATATTTTAAAACGTTGAAAAATCTCTAGACTCTGACATTTAACCTTTTCAATTTCTAAATCTGTATTTATTTCTGAAATTTAAGTATTATATACTATAGATATTTAAAAGAATTTCTTACTTCTATCGAATAGTCATAGAGACTCCTCAATATTAACTTCAATATGAATATAAATTATCTATCATATATTGAATAGATGCTTCTTTTGTTCAAAGCTGCATGTAGTCTTTTTGCACATTTCATTTATATGCATTTTATTCGTTACAGATACAGAGAGTACACTTAAACTTCAACATTCTTTCAAAAAGAGTTTTTAAAATCCAACATTCTTTTGCAGTTTATAATGAATTTAGAAGATAATTTTATGCTTGACCAAATGACTTGCATAGATACCCGAGGCTTGAAATTAACACTTGATTGAATATAAATCTGTTTAAAATTCAATCATATATGAATTATTATATATCTCACTTTACTTAATTAGATTATAAACATCAAATACATAAAAACAAATATATTTAATTAACATAAAAACACACAATTTAAAAAACATAAAAATTATTAATGAATTGTCTCAATAACAGGGTTAGTAACCAGATTGAAATTAACAGGAGAATCTCTAAGTATGATAGATTGCCTAATATTTGTCTTTGCAGTTGTAATTCTTCTTGGCGAGTAAAGTTTTGGTAAAGAAGAAGTTTGGAATTGTTTTGATGACTGTCTTCTTTCTGTTCCTTCACTCAAGTCTTCAATGTTTTTATCAAAGAAGAACATAGATGATTCAATTGTTGAAAATGTGTCAATTTGTGTTTGATTCAAATTGATGCAAAAACTATGAGGACTTGAAATCATCTGATCAACCCATTCCCTTGGAACTGCATTACAAAGATATATCTTCATCAGAGGGATGGCAGAAACGATGCTTCCAATTGCACTACATGCTGCTTTTTGCGATGAAAAGTTTCGTGTATTTGCGAGATTTCGAACTAATGCTGGCAAAAACTTTTGTATCAAAGGAAGGAATGCGTGGTATGCTTCTTTCTTGTTAGCAGCGATTGCTTGTATGAGCTTGAGAGCGAATGTTTGTTGACGCATTTTGGCATCTAAAATGTTAGGCGGCAAATCTTCTAAATTGACATTGATTAGTTCATAAAGAGTATCAAGGATATACTTCTTTCTGATTGGATTGGCGTTTTCTAGGAGCGTATGGAATATGATAACTGCTTCGTGTTGAATATCTATGGATTCGCTTGAAGGGAGAATCAAAAATTCTGAAATATGGTTTTTGATATCGCATTCGCTTGCAATTTTTGGAATAAACAACAAACGGAATGCTCGTGCAGCTGTATATAGTGCAGCAAGATTCGTTTGAATAAAGAGGAACTTAGAAAGTATCGCATTTGTAAAAGATTCTGCTGTTTGAATATTTCCTTCTGCCAGTTGAACCAAAAGCACAACACACAGTTTATGTACTTCTTCAGATTTGAATTCTGGTATTGCATCAAGAAATACCTCAATAAACTTTGTATCGCAAATATATTGGATTGCGTAGGGGCCATGTTCCGAAAGAGCAATGAAAGTTTTGATGACTTCGAGGACATCTTCGTCGGAAAGATCTTTGAGACGATTTAAGAAGTAAAGCAAAATTTCAGTTCCTCCTTTCATAAGAAAATGCTCTGCAAAAACGAACCCTGAGGAAGCTTTAAAGAATATTTGCAAACACTTCATTTGTAATGCAACAGAACATAATGATTGGTAGTTCCATCTAAGAAAAACGACAATATGCATAAAAACGAGTTCACTTGAGTGTCCAAATACTTCATCAAGTTGTGATTTAGAGTAACCGACGTATTTTACTGTAATATCTTTAATCATTAAGTAACGTTTGATTCCTGGATCATGATCCCAACGTTCGAGCCATTCATTATATTTCTTTTTGTCTTCTTTTGCTGCATTCATTACTCTTTGCGACATTTTAATTGTTCTGCGTGCTGATATAATACTTTTCGGGCCAAATGTTTCTCCCTGTTGAGCTTCGTAAAATGCTTTTTGCCTGATTGAACGTGATGAGTGACTACTAGGTAAACCAGCCGGAGGACGCGGAACTAAATTTAATCGCGGAACGTCCTGGGGCCCAAAATTCATTTTTCTTCTCAAAGTTTCAAACGAATTTTGAAAAAAAGTTCCGCGTGTAACTGAAAAATTGAATAAATTCAATAAAATATACGGGAAAATTAATAAATACTATATTTTTAAAATATATTAGTTAACACACAACAATATATACTCTATTCAAGATGAACTTTAAGGTCTCTAACTGGGTAAAGCTTTTGAAGAGAAATTTTAATGTTATATAAAAATTCTGCAATGGATTCGGATAATTTGCCAATAATTCCGCCTCTTGTAAGGCCAATTCTTCTAAGATGGGTTATAACCCATTCCCATACATTACTATGGACTTCTGATGTAATAACTCCCGAAAGATTGACCAAAAAGAAGTATGCGATAAATAGTAACCAATGGTCTTTCTTGTGCTTGTAAATTGCGCGACTTAAGAGATAAATAGCAACGATTATTTCAAATGATGCGGAAAGTAATTGAAAATTGGGCGATTGAACTTTTACTTTTGCTGCTTGTAGTTCTGGCAAATCTAATTTTAATCCAGGGACAATGTATGTGAAAAAGCAAATTATTGAGTCAACAGCTGTAATAATTAAATAATCAAGTATGTAAAATACATTTGTGTTATCTGTTGTAATGAAGAAAATTGATAGTATCATCATATGAAGATCCGGATTAAAAATTAATCTTCGAATGATATCTTTTATAAACAATGTGTCGTTGAAAACGGTATTTATAAACTTCATTAAATGATAAGATTCAAGAGACGAATAGAATAATACTACAAATAACTTATCTTTTATCATCATTATTTTTGAAATTAAGAAAAGTATAGACATCATCAATGCAAACAGGGCAGAGAATCCTACAACAACTTTTAGAAATAATGATATATTAAATTTATAAGGAATTGATCCTTCTTCCTGTACAATCATTGATTTAATTTCAGATCGCAAAAAATTGACAAAATAAAGTCAAATCAAGAGGCATCTGAAACGACTCTATGCAAAACTTGATAAACTTTATCTGTTTACAAATCTCTCTCAAAGCAATTATAGAGGAGCAGCTTTTCAAACCGACTACTACTGATTAAGTTCAATTTTTAGATTGTTCCTTTTAGTGAAAGTCTTTTTGAAGAAGACATTCGCTCAGAGTATTTCAGCAGCTCTGGAGATCTCGTTTGTAATAATTGGAAACATTGTGTAGGTTTTTATTTTTTATGCCAATTTTCAAAAAACGTGACATAATTATTATACACAAAATATGTTTATATTCTCAGCAAAATATGCATATCTATTGACCTTTTTATGAGCATAAACAAATCCAATTACATGAGAAACCATCTTTATTTTAACTCCATATTTATATATATGAATGATTCTTTATCGACAATATGTAGGTAATGATGTGTATTAATCACTTGGTCTTAAAATATATCAACTTGTATTTGAACATAACTTCACAACTTCAAAATGCTTCAACAATTTTGAAGAAGCAAGAAATTCTAGCAAAGCAGGCAAGTTCTCTATATTATATGATCTTAATAACCAAAGGTATGTAATGAAAGATCATTTTCGACACTTTATAGTTGAGTATCCAGACTTAAAACTTATCAATTCATGGAAACAAAAAAATTCCCCTACAGAAGAAAATGAAGTTCCAAGGCAAATTAATGCAACAGGATTTGTTCCTGATATCACCTAAGCACCAATGAATTGGTGGGGAGGGCTTGTTCGTAGCCAGATTCATGAACCTGAGACGGATAAGGTTGTAACTTATCTCGATGGTAATCCAGGTGATTTCCACTGGCATTACCCCATCGGAATGCAATGTACTGTACCAAATGCATATTTAACTAGGGGTATACCTGCTTTTTCAGCTTGCTATACAACCCGCATTAGTCTTTGGAGTGCAATTAATGAATATTCAGCTCAAATGAATAATTTTGTTAAATGCTCTTGCATATGTATAAGGCGCCACTCATTTGAATTTGATTTTATTGCATTGATATATATTTGTATCAATATAAAATAAAATGCATTTATTTAACCTGATCATTACATCACTCTCAAATAGTTTCATTCAACTATTAACGCATAGAAATTATTCTATTCAGGAAAAGCAAATATAAGTCAATTTTAAGCTGTGAAATATCTTTTCACTGTTGGGGCTAATTGAGAATAAAAGGATAGATTGGATACTCATTATTGCATTTTCTCTCTGGTGGAGTCAATATAGTTCTCAAATACTGAATGAATTGATAGCTTTTATCGTTGTTCGCTAATTTCACTCGGCCCAAAAAATGACACCCAAATTTTGTGTTCAATAATTTTGAAGATCAAAAAGAGTTGCATTTTTTCGCAGTAAAAGCATTAAAGCTTGAGTGTAAAACTCACACCAAAATTACGAAATTATTAGATTTCAAATGAATAAACAGAATTTATTTATAAAGATAAATCATTAAATAGTTTGACAAGTGAATCTAATTGCAATTTGGTCTCTTCATCAACTTCACCTACAAATTGAATAAATTCGTTCAAAACTTTGATTAATTCTGCTTTCAAGATCTCCAAAACAGCTTGTAAGTGGTCCTTTTTCTCAATGTGAGCTGTAATCTTTGAAGCAATGGAAGTTTTGAAATGTTCTGAAACAATTGTTTTTACACCTTCAATTGCTGAAAGAATCTGGCTTTTCTCCTTTCCTTTTCTTGCAATAAGATTGACAAGTGGCTGAACAAGCATTTGAGTTGCATTTGAAGTCAAAGATTTGAAAGTTAACGATGTTTGGCTCTCCAAATCCTTTCTGGCATCAATAGTTGACGAAACAACCCTTGTTAGATTGGCAACACTATATAAAAGACCCTTTTCGCCCTTCAATTGATAAGCAGTTGAATCAAACCTTAATAATCTCGACAAATACTCGGTAACTGGTTCGAAATCGATGGATTGGGTTGTTCCAACGAACTTGGAATCGAAGTTTCCGAGCTGATCCCTAAGGATCAATAAGTGGCCGAGTAAATAAGCGTCAGATTCAATTGGATCCTCTTTAAACTTCTTTGATTCATTGATAATCGTCTGTAGACAATTGGTAAGAAGCTGACAGGCGACTTCTCCGAACGTTTCAGGAGGTAATGCGTAGTATAATAAAGATAATAAGTCAATTGTCTTCAATGAAGCATTTTGAGGGTCAGATGTTGCTTCCTGGGATGATAATTCAACTCTAAACAATAGTCTTTCTTGAGCATCTGAAAGTAAAGTTGAAAAATATTTCCGAAGTTTCTCAGAACCGATCGGTGTGCGGCTAATTTCATCTTGGAGCATCTGCCCACTTAAAACTATGCATGCATTTGAGAGTTCTTTGACGTCTGTAACTCTTAATAAGGTAGAAATACAAGATTGATAAAAAAGTTGGCCAATATTCGAAACTAAATCAGCAAAACATTTTCCATATGACGGGTGAGCATCAAAATTAAAGAAATTCTTGCACAACTCGTGTTCTTTCAGACAATAATTTAAAATTTCCATTGCACGACTTCTTAAATTGGAAATCTCACAAATAGGAACTGAAAGAATCGGAGTCAGTAACTTAATTCTCGTGTCTTTGTAAATGCTTAAAATATCTAAGAAATTTGGCGTTTTTTCGCACATTGTATATAATCTGCGTATTCTATTTGTATCAGTAATGAATTTTACGTATATATCATTCTTATATTGAGCTTCATCTCTCTTATTCAAAAGAATTAAATATGATATGCGATTAAATGTTGTAGACATGAAATCTTTGATGAGATCTGTAACTTTCTGTTGATTTGACTGATATTTAAGATAATAGTTTCTTGAATCTTTGAATTTTGGATTAACTTCGAAAAATCTAATTCCGTTTTCTATAATTTTGAGGTTGTTTTGGAAATCTGGACTGAGAACCGAAAAGATGGGTGATTTGAAATCTACTGTAATTTTTTCTAAATCATCAAAATAATGTAAAATTGAATCAATTGAGCGTACAAATATGTCTAATCTCTGTTCAGCTGCTAGCTGTGAATCACACTCACCATGAATAAGCTCTGCATTTGCGGAAATAACTTTTCTTTTATCTTCAGCAAGTTGTAGCTGTTCTTTGCATTCTTTTATCTTATCAATTAAGTATTCTGCTGATTCTATCATCTTTTCTGTTTTATCGCGCTTGATATCTATATATTTTAGAGTGGTATCATTATCTAAAATATTTTGATAATTCTCAAATTCGGGCATTTCATCTGGTATATTATCAGCATATGAAGGACCCGGTGGCTTTATCTTTTCAACGGCAACACGCCAATCCATTGGGACTTCAATATTCATTCGGTAACTAAAATAATCATTTTTTCCCCCTAAATATTTAAATCAAATCAAGCAAAGGGATAGATTTGTTTACTACAAATGACATTTTTTTGACTCGTCAAGATTACCAATTGAATGACATTTTTTTAGTAAATGTTTAATCAAGATGATTCCAATGCAATTTACAGATTTATTGTTGATGACGACGCAGAATCATTAGCTTCGATCCTTTCAAATTACGAAAATCCTAATTTGATGCTGCAGGAACCAACTGATTACAAATATCCCAGGATAATAGCTAATTCACCTTGTCCAATTCATGTTGCTGCATTTTTTGGATCTGAAAATTGTTACGATTCTCTCTTAAATTATGGTGCAGATGAAAAAATTAAATATTTAAATACATGGGAAGTGCGCCATTTTGCTGCAATTGGAGGACAATTATCTATTCTGCGCAGATTCTCAGATATTGATGACTATTCTATGATATATGCAATTCGATATGGAAATCTTGATTGTGTAAAATTCATTTGGTCAAAAGGCATTGATTTTTCAAGTGATTATGCCTTTGTTCATGAAGCTTGTGAATCTAAATCCCTCGAGATTGTTCAATTTATTTATGAACAATGTCCAGATTTTGTAAAAATTGCTAGCAGATATTATGGTGATGAAAATGCTCTAATGCGTGCAGCAAAGAGCGGATGCGTTGATATTGTCAACTTTCTTCTCAAGTTAGGTTTAAGAGACAACATAACTTCTGGAACTGGTCTTACAGCGATTTATCTTGCAGCTAGAGTTGGATCTCTTTCATGCGTTAAAGCTCTCGTTGAGTCAGGATCTCGTTTCAAGCGTCGTCGCAGGAAGTATAACTGTTTCGTTGAAGCAGCAACTCAAGGACATTTAGATATCGTTAAGTACCTTCTCGACAAAGGAATTGATATCAATATAACGACAAGTGATGGATATGACGCACTAACATGCGCAATTGAAAAAGGAAGATATTCTGTTGTTAAGTACTTACTAATGAAAGGAGCAAAGAAAACAATAGATATTAAGGAATTCGCTCTGGCTACTCCAGAAATATATGATCTCTTCATAAATCATTTTGGAAAGATAGATCCGATTTCAGTATTTGAGAAATTAGCCTCCAATGATTTCAAAAATATTAATTTAACAAAGCATTTATTTGAGAATTACATAAATTTGGATGATCTACCACTTGATTTGATCTCAAAAATATTTTACTGCGATAAATTCCTAAATCGAAAAATTCTCAAGGAAATTTGGAATACGAAAGGATTTTTAACTTGCAATCAAAATAACCCTTTCCTATTTTGCAGGGACAGCCAGCAGTTTGTTTTTCTTTTCAATTGCGGATTCAAGCTTCCAAAGGATTGCAAATTGAAAGATCATATAATAGAGGACGCTTTAACTGATTACCGCTACACAAATTCTAAACTCATAGACTTTGTTGAAGACATTGGATCACTCGATATCCAGTATATCGTTTTCAGACTTGTCAAAAATTACAACGAAAACGATGATCGAATCAATGAGCTTAATAGCATTATATTTGAAAGATTAAGACAAGCAGGTCCGATTAAGTATTCTCTGTCTCCAATTCTATTTGGTTACAGATTGATTGGAACATCTAATTTCCTCAGATATCCATATTTTTGTGAGATTTTTGATCAAATGGATAATAGGACCAGATATGAAATTTTCACTAGAGATTTAATTTTTTCAGCAAAATATTTGGACAAATATGAACATATGTTAAAGAGAGGTTTCAGTTTTTCCTCTGGGAAATATGAAGAAAATGTTCTTCACCTTTTGATGAGATATTCAAAATTGGATTCAGTTGCTGAGTATAAGCAAATTGCTGAATTCTTCATCAAAGCTGGTTGCAATATCAATCAGACGAATCGAAGTGGAGAACCCCCATTATTTTATACTAACAATCCAAATGCAATACAAGCTATCCTAGAGCTCGGAGCAGATCCAAATATTCAAAATTTTTCAGGTTATAGTGCGCTCCATCTTGCATGCCAATTTAAAAAATTGTACTTAGTGAAGCTACTTCTTGATTATGGAGCAGATCCAAATAAAAAGACAAAAAGAGGATTATCACCTCTTGCTATTGCCATAAGCAATAACCAATCAGATATTGCATTTTACTTAATACAGCACGGTGCAAAAATAAGCGAATTTCCTGGAGGTAGTGAAAACTGCCTTGAGGAAGCAAAAATGCTTTATACTCGCGATTTAAATTTCAAAAAAGAATTAATTGATTTGATATCTTCAAATCTTTAGATGTGAATATATAATATATTATCTTTTTTCGATTTGATTAAAAAAATTATTCTTACTCAACAAAAAAATTTCGAAATAATAGTCAAAGAGGGTTTTACATGGGGTGGAGGGAGCTAATCTCACTTTCGAATCTGATGATGTATATAGATTAACATTTTGAATTTCATGTGGGATTACATCTTTTATACAATTCAATATGGAGTTACTTCTTAATGAAAGCAAAGATAAAAAATATATGTGTTGTTAATCATATGAGAGATGCTGAATGTGTGAAATCATTCCTGAGGATGTATATTATTCCAGCAGACCATATGCCTTTTCTCATATTATGCCTTCCTTCTCATATAGAAACCAATTTATATTATCGTTTTTAATGAAGAAAATAATAGTATATGATAACAAAATGCAACTCATGATGAATACAATAGATCTAGTATTAAAACTCTAATTTGCAATTCCTAATATTGCAGAGTCTTCTTCTAATTCCGGAGGCCACTATCAGCAAGTAAACCTGCAATTCTAACTGTTCCTGAGCTAGCTATAGAAATTGTATAATTTTTTCTGTTTATCAATCTTTTGACACCAAACAAAGAAATTTGATACAACTTATTCAAAAGCTAAATATGTGTAACTTTGATGAACATAATAATGTGTTGGCATTTCCATTGTAAACAATATCTAAATTCACATCAAATATTCCTCCATAATTTGCACTTAAATCTCCAATGATACAAATCGTATGCCCCAAAATCTTCAATTAAATACAAACCGACATGCTAAAAATAAATATATATGATGAAATTTGAGAACGTTTACACGTAAAAAGAATAAAATAAAATAGAAAAAAAGAATCTTACACAACCTTTGGAGGATCAAAGAACAAAGGCTGATCATCCTTAGCAGCGATTGTTTCCTTCTCCATAACAAGAAGTGTTTCACTGTAAGCAACTTCATTCCAGACGGACATTGCGAGCCAAGCAGGAGCTGAAGAAGCGAAAATCATTGTCCACAAGAGCAAAATAGAAGGAAATGAGTTGAAGCATTCACCGAAGAAACCTTGCCAATCTCTGCTTTGTTGGTAATTTATCAAGAAAGAAGACTGGAGGATACCGGAGAAAGCAACTAACAACAACAAGTTTCCAATGAGTAAAACAAGAGAATAATAAGTCAATGTGTTCAATTGCGATGTCATGTAGAAAGAAACATTAATAACATTCGCGATATAAACAATAATTGACAAATAATCTCTTCCCAAATCCTTTCCTGAACTGGCTTGAAGGAAAGCTTCTCCTGTTAATAAATAAGCGACTAACATTGTTGCGACAGCCTGGTAAACAGCCAAATACATCCATGACAAGTTCTTCAATGAGATTGTCAATGGATTTCTCAGTTTCTTGTATAAGAAAGACAATCTGTAAAGGAAATTCTCTGAAACGTCTTTCTCAAACAAAATGGCCAACATAGGAATGAATGTCCAGATCTGATTGAACGTGAGTAAAGAAAAAGGACCAAAGAATGACTGTCCGGAATAGCCAGTCCATATTTGATAAATTGCTTGACACATTCCAAATGCCAATGCTTTGTAGAATGAAAAGTGGACGGCAAGAACAGATCTGTGGAGTGCTGTGTGTCCGTGAATCAGGATTAATCTGCAGAGTGATCTGAATGAAGGAACAGCAAAATCACATGATGAATAAGCGGAATGGCCGTCTTCTGCAAGCATGCCAATTCCGACATCCGCTGTGCGGAGAAGCTGTGTATCGTTTGCGCCATCGCCTACAGCAAGAACTCTACGACCTGTAAGTTGAAGGCCGGCAACGATATCGGCTTTTGTTTGTGGTTTGCAGCGGTAGAAAATTACGCATCTCGCACGGAAAAGTGCTTCAACGAATCCTTCATGCTGCATGGCGTTGTTGAGGATGTTGGAGGACATGGAGTCGACGAGAACGGTAAAGGAGTTCTCTGGAACTTGCTGGGCCTTGTCTTTGAAATCATCGAGATCATTCATGAGGTTGTTGTCTCGGATATGGACAATTTTCTCATTTGTCCTGATAAAATTGAGACTGGCTGCTGTAATGATGGTGTTTTTGGCCGCATCTCCGGTAGCAATCCAAATTTTGAGTCCTGCTTGCTGTAAAACATCAACTGTGATCTGTACATCTTGCTGGAGAGCATCTTCGATACCAATAGTGCCTAAGTATGTCATATCTGTGTATATTTCATCTGTGGTCAGAGATTCACTGTACTTTTCGAGCTTCTTGTACGAAACTCCGAGGGTTCTGAGGCCTCTCATCTGCAACTTATCGAACAGAATTGACTGTGGACCACTGTTTTTCGTGCAAACTGGAATGACACAATCTGGAGCACCTTTTGTATAAGCGTAGTAGCCGTTTTGGTCTTCAACAATTACAGTCATTCTGAAATCGCTGCGGTTGAATGGTAAAACGCGCATTATCTTATATTCATAATTTCCGAAAGGAGCAGTTACGCAAGCTCTATCCTGGGAAATCCTATGGAATGAGAAGCCAAGCTCCATGAGACCCTTGATAATGGCGATTTCATCAGCGGAAGAGCCGAATAATTCATTTTGCTCCGTAATGTTGACAGAATGGCAAATGGACAAAGCTTTCATGATCTCTACAATATCAGTATCATCACCTGGCTCTGCAAGGACCTTCTTGAGGTTGTCATCTACTTGAATTGAAGCTGCTTCGCCTTCTCCATAAGCTTCCTTGCCAACGTAAAGGGAAATCCAATCAAGGGAATTCTTTGTAAGTGTTCCTGTCTTATCAGCAACGATAACATCGATGGCACCAAGGTTTTCAGTGATATTTGTTGACAAAGCTTGGACAGAAACTCCTGTCATTGGGTCTACGAAGTTAAGATCTTGAGAAATGAATATACCGTAGATAAACCTATAGACAGGAAGTATCAGTTTCAGAGTAATTGGAATTAAGAAAGATAACAACAACATATTCCTTATAATGAAGACCAAAGCTACGAAGAACTTGATATCCTTGTAAACTTTGATTTCTCCTATGTAAGAATCCTTATAAAGCTTATGTTGATTTTCTGTATAGAAATAACCCAAAAGACCAAGAATAATTGCAAGGACGAGTTGAACAGTGAACATAACAACTGTAAGTTTCTCGAGATAAACATCAATTAATGTTCTTCTTGCGATATAACTGATTTTAGAACTTACAGTGCGGCAATGGGATCCTGTGTAAATCGCAAGGAAGTAGAAGACACCTGAGTTCTGAACAATCGATCCGCGCTCTACGAAGTGAGAATTATCAAATGAAGTAATAATATCGCCGTTTTCGTGGATTTCGAATTTGGAAATTGATTTACTAGCTCTTGGGTTTGCATCGCTATGAGGATCTGGTGTTGCTCCTGTATGTTGGATCAAACATTCACCGGAAATTTCTCTTGTTTCAATTTGTGGTGAAGTAGCATCAACATAACCTGAAATATTCATCAGATTGGTGCTGTCTGGTATGCGAATCGGGTATTTATCTTTTGGTTTTGTTTCGCCATCAATTGTCGAAGTGTTAATTAAAACGGAAATCTGGTCTGTTTTCAGAACTATGCAGTCGCAAGGAAGCGGCGTGTGATCATCAATTTGAATTATATCTCCAGGTATAATTTTATGATACTTAAATTTGCATTCTTTATGATCTCTGAAGACTGTATAGCTATAATTTTCGTTCATTTTGATGGATTTCGCTGTTTTATGGAAATCCCATGCTTGAATAAGATATGAAAGAATGAAAACAATCAATAAAGGAAGGAATGTTGTAAGTGCGTCTGTAGATGCGTGTTCTTCAAGTAAAACCTGGAAGATACCAAGAATTAAGAAGTAAATTGAGTAAAAAGAGTTTAATTCGACAAGTAAAACTTGCCAAGCAAGGACAAAGTATCTAAGAATAGATGTACTCTGCTTATTTCTTGGAAAATTTGCATTCTGAGTTGAATCTCCAATAACAACGTGATGAGCTTGTTGATTATTCTCCATCACTGTTGTATTTTTTTTAGAACCTAAAAAATTAGTTGTCACATTTTTGAGAATAAAAATTAATATTGAAAAATTGAACTAACCTTGATGTTTTCCATCTTCGAAGTTTGGTGAGTTATCAAGTTATACATAATTATACCTAAATATTAAAAAATAATGGGATAATTTTTCATTTTGCAGACGGCATTTATTTGTAAATTATTCAATTTTTGAATACTTTACGTTCCAAATTGTGGAGTTGAATAAAGTTTGATTGAAAGCAACTCAGCTTTATGATATTTATCAAAGCGTACTAGAAATAAATGCTACACTTTATAAACACGTTCATGATATGAAATTTGATTGTATTCCATACTAAAAGGAATTGCATTCAATGATTTGATTTCATATAGGTTTAATAACAATGAATTATCTAATAGAGATAGAGATATAACTAGTCATCATATTTATCTTTTCCAAATCCATAGATTAGAAATTTTCAAATTATTGCGAAGTGAAATTTTTCTAATTTTGTTTTTATTGGTTGTTAGGTGTTGAGAAGCTTCTATTTTAATTTGACGAAATTTTATTATTAAATCAAAATCTGCGGTTTTTTTCACTCTCTCAATTTAGTCATGTCAACTCCTCCTCGAGAGGACCTCAACAACTTTCTTGTTCCGCATTCTACATCGGTGAGTCCGAAGGCTGTTGGCACTACTATAAATCTACCGAAGCAAAGTTCGCCTTGGTTGACTGTTCCTCCTTCTACAGATGCCCACACTCCCTCAGTGATAAAACACGGAAATCCGATGCCAGTTCGATCCATTTCCACCCTGAGTTTCCATGATACAAAAGATGCCATATCATCAGCTGCACCTTTCCCATCAATTCCATCCAAGCTCGAAGTTCAGACTGCTAAGAACGAAACTGATGCAGAAATCAACCAACTGAAGGCAGAGCTTGCATCTCTTCAATATGAAAGAAAGTCTTTTGACCACATTGCACAAGCATTAACTCCAAACACGAATACACATGGAATTCACGAATATCGTGGACTAATCATGCTCGATACTACTATACAATCTATTATGCAAGATAATCAGAGAAAAGCTAAAGAAGCGCAAAATAACGCGTTGGTCGCATCAACTCATAACCTGACAGATACAAAACACATGTTACCAATGTATAGACATATCGTAGATTACCCTCAATTCAAGTCAACAATCGAAACTAACTCCGATTTACTTGTTCCAATGATAGGAATTAGATATGGCGAAACTCTTACATTAAGAGAAAAGGAAGATGAGCTCACACAGAAGTACAAAGAATTGGACGCTCCTTGGCAATACCGTCAGAAAATTATTGATGAATATAATGACAGAACTGGTGAGAAATCTGAGACATGGCCTTCAGAATTTAACTTTGAGAGACCAAATCCTGATGAAGCATCCCGTCTGAAATGGGCTGCTGAGGATATTCCGCAGATTTTAGCAAATGAAGAAAAATTAGCCAGAACTTATATTGATACAAACGCTTTCGTTTCTGAACCTATTTCTCAATTCAAACAATACAAAAACAGACTCACGTGGACTGAAGAAGAAAAAACAATTTTCGTCGAAAAATACAGACAACATCCTAAAGATTTCGCAAAGATAGCAGATGCATTACCAGAAAAGGATGTTAAACAAGTTATAGAGTTTTATTATTTGAATAGATATCATCTCAATCTTAAAGAGAACGAAGGTGCAGCAAAGAGACGCGGAGGAAACAAGAAGGTTATTACGGAAGGCTCAAAGAAGAATTATTGATGTTATTATATTTTTTTATATTTTTGTATAAATTTTGATTATTGTAATATGTCTCTCTTTTTTGATTCTTATCAATTATACAATTAATGGTAATTCTGTTTAGAATCATAAATTTCTTCAAAAATCTAATTTAATTTTATCAGTATTTATGACATGGCATCATCTTAAGTAGTTATATATGAAATATGCACATAAATTCTTCATAAAATAGACGCATCTGAAAGATTCATTTTATAAAATCAGCATAGAGTTTTTTTTTATTGCAGCATATATGTAGGTATATATGAAATAACTGCAGGAAGGTTATTTTGTAAGGTTTATCAGCGCATATCAATATAATTCAGAAAAAATCGGTATATTTTTTTGAATTGGTTTGTTTTTTTGCCAAAAAATGTTTGTATGACATGGATTCACATGGTAAAATCATTTGTGGCTTAGTAGAAAGTAGTTATTATACGGTAAATAACTCAGAAACAGAGAAATCTTTTGATATTATTGTCAAAAAAAATTACTAACGATTTTTATTTCAACATAATGACTGAATTAGAACCAACAGAGAATCGTTTAGACTGGGCAAGTCATAGAACTCAAGATCCTACAGGTCTTGTGAAGATACGTATCGAACTTGAAAGGATGGTTGTCGCTGAAAATCAACAGCCTCAACCAATTCAAGAACCAGAAGCACCTAAAAATCCAGAAGAAGAGGATGCAAAAGATGGAAAACCATTAGAAGATCTTATAGATACAAATGAAGTCAAGATTACATGCGATATTGACTGGCAACAAAAAATTTTCAGTCCAACAGAAGTTAAAAACGCTATTAATGGTACACCAATTAGCGATAATCCATCATTAGCAAATAAATATCATGATCAAATCATAAAACGTCGTCAAGAAAATGATTCTTATTCAGGCAACGAAATCTTTACAAAAGTAGCAGAAGATCGTTATATTGATCCTTCTGAAATCGATACACCATTTTACAATCCAGTTGGAGAACGTGATCCAAATGAATTAGCAGAAGCAGTTCTTCAAGGTAAAGGCCATGAAGAAATGGTAGAAGTAGTCCGTCTTAATGCTCAAACTATGCATATTTTTGCATCAATTCCATGCAGAAATGGCACTGTTCATGAAGAATTACTCGGTATTATTCGTGTTTTCCCTGGAGGAAGAATTGATGTTCGCCCTCCATTCTCCAACAAATGCAATCGTGAATACAGATTCTTTACTCCATCAAGCGAAATCGTTCGTTACAGATTCAACGTTATTGAAAACGCTGTTGAATCAGAAACACCTTTCGAGCATACATTACTCTCAGATATCAAGCGTCGCCGTGCCATCTTCGAGGCTGGCCAAGCTGATTCATCTCTTGCACAAGCTCCTGATCCACCAGGAACAGTTCGTATGTTTTACAGAGGTGAAATTGCCAGAGCAATCATGGATACAGCGCCAGGAGTAGCTGTTGAATACCAGCTTCGTCTTCCTCCAGGATGGGCCAATGAAGAAACAGGCATTCCTGTACAAGGATGCAGTCAATACTCTCTTTGTGATGAAAACGGTGTTTCCGCCATCAATTTACCAATTGATTTAGTCGCAAGAGCAGAGACCCAGACAGCTCCTACATTGTACTTGACATTGCACTCATATACACCAGATGGTGCTCGCATTGTCGAAGGATATGGACAATGCGCACTTCCAATGAGTCGTGGTTGCCATGAGATTGAAGTTCCTGTTTGGAGAATAAGAGGAAGAGTTTCGGAAGAATTAAGATTGATGTTCTTGGATTCAGGCTTAGAACAGCAGGCACCTGTTGAACAGACAGAAGATGATAAATTCGGTGCTTTGACAGCAGACACTGTTTATAATAGATTCGGATTGAGAACAGTTGGCGCTGGAAAAGTTATTGTCAGATTCAATTTGGCAATGCAGTCATCTCTGTTTGGAAGAAGGCCGCAGACTAATATGGCTGGAACTATGTCTATGTTAGGATCTTCTCAACCTTCTAGAATGTCAACAATTGCAAGCAGATTAACAGATAACAAATAATTCTTATTTTTATGATTAACTCTATATTTTCTTTTTTGTTGTTTTTTTTATTCGAAATCATTAAATTTGTTAATATTATTTTTATAACTCATGAATTAAAACATGATGATATTAAAATAGTACTCAATATCCTTCTTGAACCTAATAGATGTGCTATTTTCAAATTCAATTTTGGGACTAAAAATTGCAATAAATATTGAAAATATTTGAATAGAATAATCCGAAATTGTAGATTATTCAAACTTATTCTATAAATGTGACAATTCAAAAGATTTTCATAACTTTGTATTGTTGCATATTTCATTGGGCGCCATCAAGATATATGAATTTATATTCCTTTGTTAATATATTTTAAATGAATGATTCTTGACAGAAAATATATAGGTATCAACACATATGCATCACTTGACTTCAAAATTTATCAACTTGTTTTTGAACACAACATCACAGAAACCACAAAATGCTTTAAATCCATAGATGAAGCGAAACGAATCAATATTCCAGGAAAATTTTCTATATTATATGATTTAAATAATTCGAAATATATCATGGATGATATACTTCGTCATTTTATTATTGAATTACCCGAATTAAAACTTATCAATGCATGGAAGCAGAAAAATTCACTTACAGAAGAGCTCGAAGTCTCAGGTCAATACTCAGCAGCAGGATTTACTCCTCAAATCACCGAAGCACCCATGAGTAAATGGAAAGGTCTTGTGCATTCTCGTTTATTAGATACTGGTATGTCAACTCCTTATACATACCTTGATGGAAATCCTGGAATATATTATTGGCATTTCCCTATTGGAATGTTTTGTAACGCTCCTTCTTCATATCAAAATTCAGGAATGCCTGCTCATCGCCCAAATTCTGTTAAACGAATCAGTCTTTGGAGTGCTATTAGTGAATACCAAATTGAACTAAACAAAATTAAATACTCATGTATCCTATCCATCTATAATTCTTTAGCATTTGATTTGTTAACACTTATCTTTATTTGCTCATAAATTATCAACTTTGTATTATAACACATTATTTTATCTTTTATGAAAATACAAGTTTATATTCCCATCATATGTCGGAAATTGAGTTTTACTCAATTTCCGACATATGATGGAGTATGTTCTGAATTTTCAATTTTTAGCCTCTTTTAAATTGAATGCAATTCAATTTTTGAGGCGACTCATTGAAAATTCATAATATATTTTGGAATATTCAAAATTTTCTGAGAAGCTTCAAGCCGATAAAAAGTGCGAATACATATTTTAATAGGTTCTGATACTTTTTTCGGGCTTATTTTATAAGCTCGTAAAAAGTGTCAAATCTATGGCAGTATGTTTCATTAGACTTATATCTCTCCAAACCAGTAATCACCAAAGCTGAGAGAAACATTAGAAACTTTATGATTTTCAACAAGTTCATAATCCACAATAAGTATTAATGCAATACACCGAGTTGTCAACACCATATAATTTAAAAAATTATTTGCAATTTGGACGGAGCTTGCCTACGGCCAAATTGCAAATAATTTCTTTAATCGTTTGCAAATTCTAATTTTCATGAACGTTAAAAGTTCTGAAAATTTGAATACTTGAAAATGATTTTTTTGTCAAATTTCAAAAAACTTGACAAAATTATTCATCTTCAAATTATCATATTTTCAATAAAATATGCATATCGATTGGCTTTTTTGTGAGCATATTCAAATCCAATTACATGAGAAACCATCTTTATTTTAACTCCTAAATCATATTTCATGAATGATTCTTTATCGACAATATGTAGGTAATAACGTATATTCATCACTTGGTTTTAAAATATACCAACTTGTATTTGAACACAACTTCACAACATCAAGATGCTTCAAAGATGCTGGAGAAGCAAGAAATTCTAGCGCACCAGGCAAGTTCTCTATATTATATGATCTTGAAAACAAAAAGTATATCATGAAAGATCATTTTCGACACTTTATTGCCGAGTATCCAGAAATAAAACTTATCAATTCATGGAAACAGATAAATTCCCCAACCGAAGAAAATGAAGTTCCCGGTCAAACTAATGCATCAGGATTTGTTCCAGATATCACTGAACTTCCAATGAATGGATGGGGAGGTCTTGTTCGTACCAACATGCTAGACATAAATTATAATGTGAAATTTTCATATCTAGACGGAAATCCAGGTATTTGGACTTAGTATTTTACAATTGGGCTACTTTGTCAGACTTCTTCTCGTAATATGGATAGCGGTGTTCCTGCGAATGAGCAAAATTTTGTTAAAAGAGTGAGCCTTTGGAGTGCAATTAATGAATACCAATTGAACTATGATAAACATTCATGTTTTAATACTATGTATCATTATTTTGCTTTTGAATCCATAACTTTCATATTTATTTGCACTTGAATCAAAAATTAATTATAAATTGTTCGATATTAAGGATGCACTTACGCCCCTATGACATGGCATTCAATTCAATTGTTTAAGATTAAATTTCAATGACGCTTCACGCCAGTTGTCAAAAATTTGAATTAAAGTCAGATGGGCGAAAGTACAGCCTTAAAAAATCGGAATACTTGACATTTCTTGAACGAAAAATTAATCAGGAAAATACTTGACTTTTTCAAGAATGCTAATTTTACGAAAAAATAACGCATTTGTATGATTCATTTTTTTCCTAAAATATCTAATATTAGTAATGGGCTTCTAAAATAAAAGGTCACAAAGTGATACAACTTTCGACATTTTACAATAGAATAATCAGATTATAAAATATGGAAGCTCAATTTTTTTGTCATCCAAAGTTTATGTTCCAATTTCTGAGGTGAAGAGTTAATAACCATTTTTGTTCCAAAAATTGGAACATAGAGTTTGGATGACAATTTTTTTTTCATCTGTAAAAGGTTATTATCAAATGCTATATAGTACCTAATGAGGCTGTTCTACTTTTTTGTTATTAAAATATGTTACATTCCGATGTCATGAAAAGATTTCAGTAGTGGGAAATGCTCCCATAAAAAAATGATCCTTTATGTAACTCTTAATGCCGCCTTTCAAATTCAAAAAAATTAGTATTACAATATTGCCATATATTCAAATATTCAATTAGTAAATGAAGATAAGTCAATTCGAATTTTTTTAATGAATGAATGATTCTTGAACGAAAATATTCAATTGATGGCACATATACATCTTTTGATTTTCGATATTACCAACTTGTCTTTGAACATAACTTATCAGAAAATTCTAAATGCTTCGAATCCGTTGCTGAAGCTCGAGACTCTCAAAAAACAGGAAGATTCTCAATATTATATGATCTCAACAATACAAAATATCTTATGAAAGATAATTTTCGACACTTTATAATCGAATATCCAGAAATACAACTAATTAATTCCTGGAAACAAATAAATTCCCCTACAGATGAAATAGAAGTGCCAGGTCAAACCAAAGCAATCGGATTTTCTCCTCAAGTTACTGAAGCTCCAATGAAACAATGGGGAGGTCTTGTTCGTACCAACATCCTAGACAATAATTATGGCGTGATATTTTCATATCTAGATGGACATCCAGGTGTTTGGACATGGTACTTTACTATTGGGCTACTTTGTCAGACTAGCTACAACAGTGGAGGAATACCTGTTAATAGTCAATATACTGTTAATAAAGTGAGCCTCTGGAGTGCGACTAAAGAATATCCTCATTCAAATAATGCTAAGTGTTCATGTTTTAGTTCTGTATTTCGTTCTTCCATGTTTGAATTATCGACTTTCATATTTATTTGCATATGAATGAAGATTTCAGAATTTTATCCTTTTATTAGGGAGTTCTTGTCAGATCATAGAATTATCGCATTAAATCATAATTTTTTTTGCAATCAGAATCTCTTGGATTTGTAAAATTTAAAATAATATAACAAATATATTGTGTATACATTATGTAATGTTATAGTAAAGTTAAAAGTTGTAAAAAATAAAATTGTTTAAATTATTCTTGAAAACCATGAATTTGAGGTAATGGAAACGGTTCCCTCTTTTCTTGAGGCATTTCAGCAATTACATACTTTGGAATTTCTGAAGAATTTTGTGATTCATTTGAAATTATTTCTTCATCTTGTCCATTTCCGTAATCTCCTTTTCCTTTTACAATCAATTTTCTTGCCTTTCGTCTTTCTGAGCGCGCAGATCGATATTCTTCTGTCTTTTCTCGTTCCGAGCGCAACTTTTTTTCTTTGTGCTCTTCAATAAGAGAATCCCGAAGGATAGGATGAATTGGCTTAATTCCTGATAAATTACGTAGTTCAAGTAATCCTTGATATCCTTCATTGTGGTAAATTGTAGCAATATCTGTTCTGCCTTCATATGAACTGAGATAATTTGTATGTTTTGGATTAAAACGGCATGATCGAGCATTATATGACTCATTTATATGAGTTGCATAATCCGGATTAACAATTTGAAAAACTGATCCGGAATCTTTTAAAAATTCGAGTAGATGATTTCTTGCATTTTCGTTTTCAAGTCCAGCTGTCCATATAAAATGTTCTTTTTCTTCATCTTTTGTGGAATGTAAACAATATTCTGGTGAATGGTTTCCAATTAGATGATCTACGGCGTGGAGCCAATAAAATAGCTTCTGTTCTTTGGAAATATGCTTATACAATAAAGTATTAAAGAATATTTTGAGTCTGTTTTTGATACCATGAAAAATTTTTGAGTCGACGATAGGCATGTCACTTTTTGCATACTCATTAGAAGTAAGACGTTTCCAGCACAATTCGAATTTCTTTTTGCAATGGAAGCCATCTTGATACTCAACAGCATCAGGAAAATGCTTATGAACAATATTACGGGATTTATTATCCCTATCATGGCAAAAACCGTCAACAATACCTTTTCCCACCGTATCTTCCAAAATTTGAAGAGCCTGATCAGCGGCAACAGATTCCATTTGGCATGAGGCACCAGTATAATTTCCAGCTTTACCTTTACGAGATCTAACGATTACGAATTTTGCCACAATGTCACCTTTAGGACCCATTGCTACAAACTCACACTCGTCTGCATTTCTAACATGCGAGAAATGAGCATCGATGGTGATAACAGTTCCAGGCTCAAGTTGCAATGCATGATTTTTTACACTTTTTTCAGCTAATTCCTTCGCTTTCTCGAGAATCACCTTTTGAATCCTGTAAAAGTATTGTGACGATGGTACATCAGTTAGTATGGGTTAGTCGTGTACTGAGGCACTGCGCGCCTCCGTACACCACTTAGCGGTTTTGACACTTTACAAAACCATTAACGTATATTTTACAACACAAACGACAACACTAACTTAACCTTAAATATTTACAAAGCCGCCAACCATTTCACCTCACTAACGACTTCGCTAACGAACTCACTAATGAAAAAATAAACGTTCTCATAAATTTTCTTCTATATCTTCATCGTCAATGTTAACTCTATTGTAGTCATACTTGAAGTCATAAAGTTTCTCAAGTTTTGAAATGCATAGTCTTGTTAACTTACCTTCATCATCATAAGTTTTTATAAAACTACCATGACAATCTTTATACACAGTCAATGTATAGTCAACTGGTCTAGGATGAAGTGTAAAGAACATGTTATACTCAGGAAGGAAGAATAAATGTTTAAATGTATGTTTGTTATATTTTTCGATTTGTATGAGTTGCTTTTGTTCTGTCATTTATAAAAAAATAAAATAAAAATAAAATAAAAAAAAATAAACTTAAAAATTAATGATATCACCACACTCACACGTATGAAAACAGCACAAAAATAAATTTAGGTGAAGTGGTGAGATCTCACCTCTTTTACCTGTTTTTTTCACCCTGTTGAATTCATTGCTTTATAACTCTCTTCCTTGGTTTCTTTTTAGTTGCTTTCTTCACGTCTGTCTCCAACTTGACTGTCTTTCTTCTTCGTCCGTAATGATACCAGTTACTTCCAATAAAGGGTTTCCATACATTCCATAGGGACCATACGGAAGAACTACTGGTGGAGAAGAAACATTTTCTTTAGCTCCATCGAATCTATTTAAATGCATTGTTTCACCTTTCATCTGGTCATTAAAGTCTTTTGCGTGTTTTGCAAACTCATCGTCCTTTCCTAAAGCATTTTCTGACTCAGTCGCAACCAAATTGGATGCTTTATTTATGAGCCCTATTTTATTTAATCTTAACTTCTTTGCAACCCAGCCTCCAATCTTCCCTTTATTTGCATCTAATGTCTTCGAAACCCTTCCTCCACTCATTTTATTTACTGCGTCATAAGCTCCAAGTGCTTTTGCTCCAAATGCTAATGCTTTTGTTCCCATTGCGCCTAAAGCTGCCCAAGCTACCATTTACACCATATTAAAATCATCTCTCTTCAATATTATCTCATAAAAGTTCTCGTTACTGGAGAAAGTCAATGAAACATAAGCGTTCTCACGGGCTTCGCCCTCACCGCTTTGCGGTCTATCTAACTTCTTTCTTATATCATCTATACGCTTCAAAATGTCTGAACAATTGCTAACATCTTCTACAACAGTTATTTCATCATGAATGACCTTCAAGAACAAGCTCATTTAATATGCATTAAAATCATCAATAATGAGTCCATCCTTTCCATCTTTAGGTAGCACAACATCTTTCATTGAAGAAGGTTCGACAAGTCTTATGTTAAACTTACTGACAAAGTTTGTTATACTATAATGCTTCGGCGGCGAATACATGTAGTTTGAAAGACATAATATAGATTCTTCAGCAAATTCACTTATACTGGATTTTATAACAATGTTCTCACGAGACCAAATACCACCAATTGACAATCTTGTAAGCAATCCTGCTGAACCTTCTACTGTAAACGTCGATGGTAACATTCCACGAAGGTCATCTATTGACATCGTTGAGTCACTGATTTAAATATTTTCTTAAAGCAATCGTCATTATCTAACCATGCAATAGCTTTGAAGTTTTCATTCGAATATACATCTGCTTCATTAAATGTAAAACCTGACTTCTTTGCAGAGACGACTTTAAAATCTATTGAGTTTGTTTCAAAATTATATGCTATGGTAACTTCTGAAGGTAATGGATGTCCTTCCGCAGTCAGTTGTTCTCTCACTACCGTTTGAAGCTTTGTATTAAAAACTTTCATGTCATCTCCTGTATCTAGTTCACATACACAGCAACAGGGAAACTATCTTGCTTCTTTGTTTCATCATTATATCTCAAAACATTAAAGTTCTTCAATAATATTGTTCTTCCTGCTGGAATACTTCGAACCTGTCTGATTTCAATAGCTTTCTCACCTCCTACATACTCTACCCAGTGTCTTGGATATTCATAAGTATACTGACTTTCTTGAATTTTGGTAGGTTTCATCATAACGTGTTCATAGTATATCTTTATACTCTTGTCAGTTAGACTCGGTGCTATGTTCTGAATATTTCTGACTTGCATTTTTAATGGAGATAAAATGAAGCATTTAATACATGACGTAGATGAAGACATGAATGAAACTACAGACAAACTTAACTCTTCTCTCATTCTTCCTTTCAGTAAGGACTATGAGTTCTGTTCAAATGGTGTTTATTTCTATTGTGGAAAGATGGGTTCAGGTAAAGACATTTAACCTCATTCGTCATATACTCATAACAGAACGTTTAGGAAATGACTCTTTATGACCAAATCATTATATCAGCAACTTCAGACTCTATGGACTCAACAGCGAAAACATTTATGTCAAAAGTTCAAGCCTCTGTCGTTAAAGTTCCAGACAGTGAACTCATTGAATTTCTTCAACGTTACATTCGACGTAAGAGGAAATATTATGCCATCGTTGAATTTATACAGTCAGGAATGCAAAAGACTTCTGAGGAGATGGAAAGAATTATTGACAAACACCACTTACGTCAATACTCAGGAGTTTACGATATGAAACGACTTACAAATTACATTCTGTCAAAACTTTCAAAATACCCCTTCAAAAATATCCTTCAAACACTTGTCGTTTGTGACGACTTCGCTGGAAAAGGTTTAGTTCAAAGCCTGACTCACCATTAGCTAACATCATTACTAAAGTCAGACATTACCACTTAACTGTAGCAATACTTATGCAAACATGGAGGTTTTTAGCTTTAAACATAAAACGTCTCATAACTGACTTCGTTATCTTTCAAGGTTTCTCACGCTATGACATTGAACTCATTTGGAAACAGTCAGGTATAACATTACCTTTTGAAGAAATTTGGGAAGCATATAAGTCTCTCATCTCTCCTCGTTCATACCTTGAGATTCATATCATGACTAATACCATTAAAGTCAAAAATATTCCATGGGAACGACCAACATTGTTTTAAAGTTTAACCTTCAATTGACTGATGGTAAACAAATTCCATGCATCTCTGTCGCCATTTCTGTTAATATTTTTGCTGTCATTCATATCATCCACTTCCCATCCGTTAGCTTTTGAGGATATGCGTTAGAATAGCTGTTCTTAAATGAAGGCTTTTCACCTTTGAGAGCATAAACTCTATAACTTTCTGCATACTTTATGTTTGAACCTCCTGAGCCATCATTGACATAAATTTTTATAGGCTTCCACCCTTTGTTCATGTTCCTGCTTCTTCCCTTAGCTCTTTTGTTCAGTAGTTCTACATCTTTATACACAGCACCTGTCTCAGTGAATTCAACAATATTTTCATTCGTTAGCTTTACATTCAAACCCTTGTCGAGTATATTGTTCATTTCATACATATAAAAGGTTTTTATTCTATATGAAATGAGAAGCAAATCCATCTTAGCTGGTGCCGTTAATGTTCCAATTGAACCAACATCAAATGTTGACTCACGAACGACAAAAATATTGTCATAAAGAACTATAGTTCAGAGTGTTTGAAAGAAAAAGAACCAGAACTTAAGTCGGTGAATTGAATTTAAAACTCAGCTTCAAACGCTAACGCTACATCAGATGTTAAGTTAGAGTATCCACCACTGGACCAAATTCTTTCAAGAGAAGCCAACGACAACCCTTACACAAATGTTCAAACAAATCCTTCAGATAACGTAGACCATTACCTTCTTCAGTTATACCAAACAATTTTACTCAAAGACGATAAGAAGCTTTTGAAAATCTTATAAGCAAGAACCAAATAATTCTAACAAAGGAGGACCTTGAAAATGTTATATCACGAATAACAGGGAAACAATGTGTCATTGACTATCTCGACCCTGAAATCGAATGCTGTGGTCAAACTCCACTATTCATGAAAATAGGTAACATCCGCATCATTGAAACACCAGGAACTACAGGAGTTGAGTTTAAGTATAAATATTCGAACGAGTATACAAAACTTTTAACAGAATATAAGCTTTGTTTGAAATATGTTTTAGTAAATTAAAGCAGTCAGGAGGGCTCTTTGAGCCCATCTTGGCGCTTTGCGCCGTCAGTCAAAAAAATTTCAAGTTAGCAATTTGTAATATCTATCCAAAACTTCTTCAACAGTATCGAACTCATCTTCATAATGCAAACCTAATCTTATTGACTTGGTGCAGTTTTCACTAACACAATATTTTTCTGTTCTCTTGACTGACATAACTAACTCATTTGTTTCATCAAACAGCAACAACCAAAGTTCATGACCTAATACATAACATTCATACTTTATATTTTTAGCTCTGAGTTCTCTTGTAAGCTGTTGCATTTAATATTTTCTAAAAAGTCAACTTCAACAGTCATTCGCACTGGTGCCTTCAGTTCTACAGGCTCTCCTTGAAAGTCAACAAGTCTGAATTGCATGTCTTTCAAATTATGAGGACTAATGCGAACCCATTTACCTAAATGAGTTGCTATGACAGGAACGTTTGGAATGAACATTGAATTGACTGCATAACAGAAGGATTTATATTCTACTGAACCTTTACTATTAACTCCTGAAATGCCTGTGACATTAGCTATTTTAGACTCAATGTATAAACAATTACCATAACATACGTATGGAACAGATTTCATCTCAATCGTTTTGTCAACACTTTT